GCATTTTTCAATGGAAAATAGCCAAAAGTTTTTCGGCCACCTCTAAAGCCTACTTCATTTCATCCCCTTGTTCCCAATTTCATTGTACTAATTAGTTTCTCTCTCTTTCCTTGATGTTTACACCATTCAAACAGGGGTGGTGTGATCACCCCTTTTCCAAGCTACATATATTAACCTGATTAAAGTTTGATTCTTTCCATCTAAAAAGATTTTCAGCATGTTTGGTGGCAAGGCAGGGATGCATAAAGAGAAGAACTTGCTTTGGGAACTCCGGAATGCAAAATTCCTAAAGTATTTGAGATCTGGATTTATCTCCCTTCATCAGGGATAAAAACTTCATTGAAGAGAGAAGTGGAAACTATAAAGTTTCCCTATATGAGGCTAGTATCTCCTCCCACCTTCTGCCTTCAATCTAACCAGATCCCTTCCAGCTATTTGCCCAGATTATGCCCGTATTTTCTCTGAAATGTGGCAGAGACCGTGCCAATCCCAATCTCACACTGCTCTTGTTAAACTAGAATTACTGGTTTGGATTATATAATTCAACAGGAAGGCCAAATTTCGTCCCTGTGCCATAGGACAACTAGGGAAAGAGAATAAGGACGCTACTTTGGCAGGAGACAAACACACACCCCAAGAAGTTTACAGAAGTTGTGCCCTGCTTCCCAGCTTTCCTTCACATTTGTTACCAATGTCTCATGCCACATAAAGGACTAAGTTTCAAAGAGGGCTTCACTAAATGGGCCTCCAGTGGACATCATTCCGTTTTTGCATCCACAATTTTTCAAGCCCAAGTCTGCATGTTTGAAAACCCCACCCTGATGGAAGTGCAAACTGGATTTGTGCTTGTGAGTCAACTAGTTACACACCACACTTCTTCCTTGGTGTGCACAAATGTGGTTTCTGAGGGTATGCCCATACGGCAATCACAGGATGTGACGGCAGCTCAAATAGACATACCCACGCTGGCTTTAATCTACCTAGCTCTGCTCTGGTATCACAGTAACGAAGCAGGGGCTAGCCCTGGGATTCAGGGCTAGCCCCTGGGTTATCCAGGGCTTCAGGTGGGTTTACACAGCCCATGCTGAAGTGTGTGCTGCTGCAGCTTCATTGCTCCGTGACCCGAGCTAACTTCATGCAGGTCTCCTCGAGCTGCAGTCCCACGCTGTGATTGCAGTAGAGACACCCCGAGTTTGCATGCACAAAAACCAGGATGCAAAGAAAATGGTGAATACAATTCTAGAGGCCATTTCGGAACATCTGAACCGAGACATCGTTTGGGGCCCAGTCCTGCTCCTCATGAAATCAACAGCAAAGCTCCCATTGACTTCGCTGGGAACAGGATCGGGCCCCAACAAAAACTAACCCATCAAGCACTGCCTCTGCACTTCAAAGCCTACATTAACTGCAGACTTTACTCGGATGATCAGGGATGATTGCTAAAATAGAGAGGACACCTCCCGCCACAGCAGACCCAGAGTTAGAGGTAAGTAACACTGGATTCTCACCCGAAGGAGGCTGCACCTCGTTGAGTTCTTCTGCAATGACATTCTCGCTTTGTACCATTTGCTTCACTGATGCAATGAGAAGTGCATCAAACAGGCTGCCTGGACCCCAGCCTAATGAACACCAGCTGTGAGATGCACTTGAGCTGTGTTTTGGTTTATAAGCACATGGACAGATCAAGATGGTTTGAAGACACCTGTTCCCCTGCCTAGCACAGCATGTATGTACTGGAACCACGGGCTGCTCCCCGCTTCAGTCTGGGGCTGGGAGAGGGAATGGGATGGGATCTTAGACAGCTTGGCTAGGTGGGCAGCCGCGGTCAATGCTCTGGGAGAGCAGGACTGTCCTGGAAAGCACATGGAAATAATAGAGATAAATAAAATGAACTGAATTCATCCACCACTCATGGCTGTGCTTTGAGATCTTTCGAGGGATGGTGCCACAGGGATGCAGAGAATTATCATCACTCTCTCTCTCTCTCTCTCTCTCCTGGAATTTCTCTGGCCCCACCAGCATGCTATCCAAACACCTTACAATCGTTAATGAACGCATCCTCACAACCTCTCCTCATAGGCAGGGCCATTCCCCCCATTAAAAAGGAGGGCCTGAGGCACACGCAGCTGAAGTGACTCACCCAAGGCCACACAGTCAGACTGTGGCAAAGCCTGGAACGGAACCCAGAACACCCGAGTCCCAGTCAAGTGCCTTAACCACAAGGTCTCCTCTCTTTTGGCGCACTCCATCCAGCCCTATGGATTATCTGCACTGCTTGCTACTGAGCCCTGGGGTCAGAGCCTGCTTTGGACAGCTGAGCTCAGATGGGTTGCAGAGCAGGCAGACAGGAAGTGCTCATCTGCTTGATCAGCATCATTTACTGACTCTCTTGCGGCTAGCACCTCCAGGGAGGGCACTCAGCCCCAGCGGGAGGATGAGGCCGTCAGCTTTGGCGGTCTACGAGAAGAGGGTACGTCAGGGGTATCAGAACAGAGTGGGTGGAGGAAAACATGAGCCCCTTACCCAGGCAGGCCATTGGGCTTGAGACCAGCGGTACAGAAGGAGAGATCTAGTTGCCTGGTGAGAAGAGTGCGAGACACCCCTTTGTTTCACCAGCAAAAGCTGGTGTGTACATGGCGTCAGCCAACTGAGCGCATTTCCTGCAAGTGTATTCCAGCTGTAACTCAAGTGCGGCTCGCTGCCCGAGAATGGCCAGACTCCGTCTCCGGGGGCAGACGGAGAGACACATGTCTGGGACTCACTGCTGCATGTGAAGATTAACATTCCCTCTCTGAGCACTACTTGGAAACATCACACTGACCCATTCTGCCGAAATACCGACAGGTGGGGAGTTAAGGCATTGTGACTCAGTAGATCTGGGTCCTGCCTCTGCCACAGACTCCCTGTGGGGCCTCAGCCAAATCACTTTAACACTCTGTGCCTCAGTTCTCCACCGGTCACACAGGGATACTACTGCTCCCTGTCTCCTACCTGTGCTGGGCTACTTGGACTGCAAGCTACTCAGGGCAGGGACTGTCTCTCACAATACACCTTGCACAGCCTGATCTCAGCTGGGGCCTGGAGGTGCTACACAAAACAATCGTAATGTCAGAATGTTTCCAGCCCCAGTTGGTGACAAGGCAAAGCCGTGTCATTCTAGATACCACCTTGTCTTCTCTCATTTCAGTTCAGGTGCCATTTTCAGCAGCTGATCTCTGACAAACTGGGCATTACTGCTTCATGCCGTTGGAAAGCCAAGATCCTCAGCGCCAAGAGAGTATAGCGCAGTGGATGCTAGCTGTACAGACTCTCAAGACGATGACCCCTTAATATCCATTTGAATTGAAGTAGGGGGGGAAGCCCTCAGGCAGTCTGAAAGGGTAAGCCCAGGTCAGAGATCGTACAACTTGTCAAGGCCAGAATAACGCGACATCCACTGATGGAGAGCTGGGCTCTCAGCTTCCTTGCAACTTACAACACTTGTCTCCCCGTGGACGTTTGCAAGACACCAAACCCACTAATCCTTTCACTGATCTCTAGGAACGGTCTCCTGGCACCAGACCACATGTGAATCTAACCAATCCCAGTCCTCAGGACAGGAAGTGAAGACTATTGAATCCAAAAGAGGGGTTGCGGGGGGTGGGGGAGGCAGGAGGCAGGTCCCTAGGTTGGTCGCTGGCCAGGACACTGGGGCTAAAACCTCTACTCTTGCAAACAGTGCGAGATAGAAAAATGCCACCTATTGAACCATTAACACAGCTTCCCACTGCACCCTCCCTGCTCCTTCCAGGTCTCCCATTCAAGCACTGCCCTGCCCTGGCCCTGCTGAACTCTGGGTCTCGGCATCAGGTGGGAAGAACAGGATTTATTGTTTCACATTCTGCATCACACTCCCCTTCAGGGCAAACGCGCAGCTCCCCCCTCATGGCCGCACATCAGTGACGAGCGGGAAGTCTGGCTGCACCACAGGCTGATGATCAACAGCTGGTCCGGGCCACCCCAGGAACGTGCCGCAGGGGACAGCCTGGCACATGAGGACCAGACGGCTGAGTGAGCGAGAGGAGCTGGGCTGGGCTGACAGCGGATTCCTTGCTGCCCATCTCCCAGGGAAAAGGCCCAGGCTGGGCATGTGGGAGGTTTACACCAGAAGAGCCTTGAGGGCATGGAAGGGCCCAGGATCCTAAGCCATCCAGGTTTCCCAGATAGCTGCTGGGAAACACCACAGCAACCCTATTAAACCTTTGCCCTGCATGGGGTGAGCAGGGACGGGGGCGGGTAGTGGAGGGGCCCTCACACAGAGGTTCCAATGTCCGGCGCAAATTGGAAAGCTCCGAGGGGGGCTGCCGGCAGGAATCCTACTTCCCTGTCTGAACATTCACCAACCGCAGTCACCCGTGCCGGATGGCTGAGCTGCCAGTGCGACCTTTGCAGTGATCTCCACCCCCAACCTGGGGGCCCTGTATGGCTGCGGGATGAGAGGGGAGAGCTGGGAACTGGACTGGATTCCAGTGCTGGGGCAATGACCACTCAGGGGATCTAGTTCCTGGCGGGGGCATGGAGCGGCTCCCCGCATCTCACTGCCTGTTAGATTCCAGGTCAGGATGCAATGGGACGGGGACAGGGCCTTAAAGTCACCATCCCACAAAGCATTAACCCTCACAGTTTAGTGCTGGCCCTCAATTGTACAGTAAAATCACAAAGGAACTGAGTCCCTACGGCCCAGTCTTGGGCCTCAGTAACTCAGCTAGGCCCTGGAGAGCTCCCTATGAGAAAAGAGGGTGTGAATTCTTCTCCTGCCTACTTATTCCCAGGCCACGGAGCTAATCCACAGCCTCGACTCCAGCCTGGCTGCTGGAGGGACTCTATGGCCCTGGTGCTTCCCGCTGCTGCTTGGAGGCAGGCAAACCGCGGTGCCCGGAGGGAAGCGGGAACAACAAGAGGAAGAGCTAAGGCATGGGACACAGAGGACTCCCGTTGGTCCACCACGCCACGATACTTACGTTGATCAGGGCCATGATCCAGAAAGCATAGGACACGCGCGTCACCACCATCCCTTTCATTGGCAGCTCGTACTGCGACAGGTTGCCGGGATGGTGGGGGACCAACGACTTGCGGATGTGAGGGAGGTTGCTGGTGGCGTTGAGCGTGGAGTTAGACAGGATGCAGTTGGTGTCCGAGAGGAAAGGGTCAGCTATCAGTGGGCTCAGCAGGGCCCCGAACCCCACAAAGAAGTGAAGGGCCTGGAAGAAAGGACAAATGCCAAGAGGTTAATTTTCTGCTCTCCCCTGCAGGGAAGCTGCTGGAACCTCCTCCTGAAAGAACGAGACCCGACAACAGAAATACAGCAAGAGCTGCCGCGTCCCGACAGAACTGCCCCAAGGGGAAGCCAACGCATCTGCCTCACCTGCAGGAAGATGGCCGAGTCCTTCTGGTAGATCTTCACCAGCTGCATGTTGGAGATGGTGTCGATGCATCCCATAGCCAGTCCCGCCACGGCCATGACCACAGCCAGCACCACCACATTGTGGCAGAGAGGGATGATGGCAAAGACCACAGAGATGGCGAGGGACGACGCAAAGAGGGCGACCAGGGACTGAGACAACCTGAGCAGGGAGAGGGGAAACAGAGGGACAGAGTTACCTTGGGGAGAGCCCTGTCCAGCAATGACATCAACCTGCTCACTAGGGACACACCCATAGCTATCCCCTGGCAGTAGCATTCTTAGTCTATTAACAGGCCTGCCCCGTCCCCCGTGCACTCGGAGTCACTTGAGCATGGCACATCAGCCCATGGTGCACGTACCATTCACTACGCTGGCTACGTTACCATTCAGCACATGGTGGGGAAAGGATTATGAGGGATATTCCTTGATCAGACAATGGACATAGGATCCAGCTACGCTGCAGGGAGGCAGGATGTGGCCCTTAGCATGGTTTCCACACATGTTAAGCCCAGACGGGACCATTACAATCACCTAGTCTGACCTCCTGTCCAACACAGGCCACAGAAATATGTCCCATCACTACCCTATCCCTCCAGCCACCCCCATCTCTTGCTAGTCTCAGAGGCACTGTGGACTGAATGCATCATGGACACTTAACTCCTTGCTCCCCTGTAGAGGCCCAGAGGGGGCATATTGGCAGGGAGACTATGGCGCTGACCATGCTGCACCTGCGCTGTGGGCAGTCTCCAGCCCCCAGGACCACCAATCGCACTGATGTCACATTAGGAAAAGCTACATCCATTCCGTTTTTATTTAAACCATGACATGGTGCTCTATTTGCTGCTGCCTGTAGGCCACATATAACCCAGCTAGGGTCCTGGGCACCATAATGTCTGATTTCAACAGCTCATTTATTGCTTTAGTCGTCTCCCCATTTGGCTTGTCTCGTGCCCTAACTTTGGATCTCCGCAAGAACCTGCCTTCTGGGAGTTCAACCCTTCCTCCTTCCTTTCCTGGCTGCACCACCACAGAGCAAGCAGGACGCCCGTCTGAGGCTTTCTTCCAAGCTTTGCCCTGCACACCCAGCCCCAGGCACCACGTTAAAGGTTCTCGTGCCCACATCCCATGATCTCACCCAATGTTTGCATGGAGGGGAGGTGATAACCTTGATCACCATATCAAGGGCTGAAACCTCTTTAATCAGGTGGAATTTACCCAGGTACCTAATGGTTGTAGGATGGCTAGAGGACAGGCTGCAAGCCAGTGGGACGTGCCCTCCGTTCAGGAGGGTTTTGCTCCGCTAGGGCCCCTCTACACCACAAGCGTTATATTGCACATTGTGACCATGAGATGGAGTCAGACTGTACCCAGCCTCGTGTGTATCTGACACGCTGCAGGTCCATTATTTGCTGCAGACTCTCAAATTTCTTTTGAAATTAAAAGTTTCTAGACCGGACAGGTATGAAGAGAGCCTTCCAACCGTGACCTGAGTGTAAATGGTGCAGCAGTGCCAGCCTGAGTCTGCAGACAGCCTGAAACGAGAGCTCCAGGAGTCGTGACCTGCTGTGGTCCTCTCAGTGAGTGTTAATTCTGAAACCTACTGATACCAGGTTCAGTATCAACTGTTTCCATTACTGATCATTTTAACATCATAATACATCTGACCTAACCTCTGCTTAGACTGTAAGAGGCTGAACTGTCTCTTTTCTGTGCTTGGATAGCCCCTAGCACAGTGGGGCCACAGTCCTGACTGGGGCCTCTGGGTTCTACCATAACAAATATTTGCTATTCCTACAATACCTTCCCCAAAGCCCCAGCTACAACCCACCCAGGTGCCAGAAGTTCCATCTTCCCCAGTGGATCCCTTCCTCCATTCACAGTCTGGTTACATCCCCCGTGAGGATCACCTCTACATCACAACAGCAGGACCTGTTCAGTCTTTCCCCTGTAACCAACTGAAAAGGTCCCGAACTCCTACTTCCCTAGGCACTCCCACAGGCGAGTGGTCTGGAAACGCTTAAAGGACCTTAGCATAAGGTGGGCAAGTGCATTGCGTCACAGATCCTGTGGGTAATAAGCCCACTCCCTGCCTTCTGTCCGGACTGCTATGAGCTAAACAGGGAGCAAGGCTGCTCTCACTGTCAGCTGAGAGCCGGCCAGCTCGCTGAGTTAGAGAACCGAGCCCAGGCTGGCATTGCACCGCTGCAAAGCTGCCAAGTCTGAAGGCAGGAAGGAAGGAAGGAAACAGAGACCAGACAGCAAAGCACTGAAAAGACCAAGAGTAGCAAAATGTGAGACTGTAAAACTTCAGCAGAGAACAGCTAGCACAGACAGGTCCCCCTGGAGAGATCGCATCCCAATTAGCACCTCTCCCCACCTTTAGGCACCCACAGCTTTCTGATGGAGCAGGGCTGGTCCCTTTGGCACATGAAAGCATCACTCATTAACCGACCAGAGGGGGGCGTTGCTGGGTGATGCAAGCCACTCCAGTTCTGGCTGGAGACAGAGAGCGGGATCAGCAGTAACAGCCAAGCCCCCCCTCGCACAGGCATGCAAACCATATCGTCTGCATGCACAATCCATTCCCCTCGCTCCCAAGCAACTCGCAGCACAGAGGAAATCCACAGCCACGTCTCCTTGGGGAGCAGCTTGGCTTGGGGGCAGCATCTCTGGGTCACAAGTCACAGCTTCCCCCCACCCCCACCCCGAGCTGCCACTGCCAGGCAGCACAGAGGGACACCTGGGCCATTCGCGACGCCGCAGCTGCAGAGAGGAGACCCGGATCAGAGGGACCCTGGGCCCGTTTCTGGGGGTCGCTGAGGCGAGTGTTTTGGGTCATAGGGGAATAACTTGTGTGTCCTAGCCAACGTGCTGCCCCCTGTCGCTCAACAGGCAAGACTCCCGGCTGGGCAGCAGCTGATCGCCAAGCTCATTTGAATGCTGAGTCTGTAGCTATCTCCCTGCCTTGCCAAGGGCTTTAAGATAAGAGGCTGAAAAGGGCTGTGGAAACCAAAATCCATTCTCCAAAGCAGGTTGCCTAGAGCAGCCGGCCAGGAGCCAGGACATCTGCTATGTAGTCCTGACTGCTATTTGCTGGCGGGCTGGCCTTGGACAGACCCCTTCTCCTCTCTGCACTTCTGTTCCCCCATCTGCAAAATGAGGGTAATTCCTGCCTTACAGAGTGCATGAGGCTGAATAGTTTATAACACACTTTGACATCCTCGGGCAAAACAGACCTAAGTGCAAATTTACTTTCCTACTCTGCTGGATGGCATAAACTTGGTATTCTGGACTCACAGACACATTTTATCTTGGAGCCCAGCTCCATGTATTCAAATTAAAAAACTAATGTAATTGTTTTTGAGGGTCCAACATTTTGCAGGGCACTAACCCAGCCTCTCATGCAGTTTAGCCCTTTTTAAAACCCTGATCCCCATGAGCAAATTCACAAGACAAAGAAAAAACAAACCCCAAAGACATAAGGCCATGGAATAAAACAACAGGCAAATAAGAGAAAGGAGCCACAGAGGTACAAGGCAGCACCCGTGGGGTATGGCAAGAGCCCACTGGGGAAGAGAACTGTAGGGATTAGCAGCCAGTGAATATGAGATGGTAGAAACATGCACCAAGAGATCCCAGAAGTGCCTTTTATGTTCTGCAGTGTTAGCAAAACAACTGCAGAGCTGCCTCGGCTTGGTTAGAGAGTGCATTCATTACTGGAGTTAAACATTAATCGCTAATTATTTCATGTCACTAAAAAGATTTTTTTTTTAAATAGCAAAAATGTGTGCCTCCAGCAACATACCACTAATGATCCCATTGCTTCTTTATACAGCCCCCGGAGCAAGCATCAAGAGAACCCACTTTGCATTGCGCCCATCGACCCCCACATCCCCAACTCTGGCATTAGTGAGTATGAAGGAATTGTTCTCTTCCAGCCACTGAATCCAAAATGAAGTCATTTGCTTTCAGGTAAGTTTGAAGAGTGGACTCCTCAACACCAAAGGTGGGATTTGGACTCCCACTGAAAGGCAGTGTGAGTTGGATGTCTAACCTGTTAGGTTCCTTTGAAAATCTCAGCTCTTTCCCTATATCTTTGTAACAGGCATGACATAAACCCAGGTCTTGAACATGAAAAATCATTGCACACCTCACCAGACAGTTAACTCTCTGTCTCCCCTACATCTGGCTGCAGTGGGATACAGTGGTAACCTGTGCTAACCAGTTGTGGAGCATTGCCTTGCATAAACATCTGCTACCTCCCCCCCCCCCCCGAGGCTGCATTGCACTGCGGGGAAGGGATTCCTGTACAAACAGAGAATCTGATTTTCAGAAGTGTCCACGTTTTGTTGAAGCCAAGGGGAGCTAGGGGAAGGGATATGGAACCTCATGCTTCAGGGTTTCAGCCAGTCTCATAATGATGGGGTACGATGAGACCTTCACAGGGAGACAGACTATCCTACATCCGTCAACTGCAGGGTTTCTCGCACTGTCTTTGAAGTAGCTGGTGCTGGCCACTGTCAGAGACAGGATACTGGGCTGGATGGACCACGGGTCTAAGTCCGCCTGGCAATTCCTATGAGCCGCAGATGTTCGGTTTCCCTGCAAAGTCAGGCCCAATGCTCAGAGAGCTTTCCCAGGGTGCTTAGGAATGAAAGACACTATACAAATGTGCCACCTTCAGTCCCTCCCAATACTGGAGCCACACACGGCGCCAAATGAAGGAGACGCTGAAACAAAAACCTTAGAAAGATGGGAAGGGTGGAGGAGGAAGTGGTTGTAGGACCAGTCCTGGTGTTTCCCACTGTTGCCTTCCCTAGTGACAGACACAGGCCTTGGCTTCAGTGGAGCAGGATCAGGCCCCAAGAGGGGAGAGAGTTTAGGATTACGGAAAGTTGAAGAATCTCGTCTCATCTGCCCTCCCAGGACCACCTAGGGGAACACACCTTTGGAGGAAGCCTGAGCAGGGTTACACCACACAGGGCCAAACATGCCTGTGCTGATCCACATTAACACCCCCAGCTTGGCTAGCCTCAGTGGGGCTAGCTCGGTGCTGTGCCAACAGCGGGAGAAACGCTACCAACTCTCAGCACAGATGCAGCCGCTGAAAAGGCAAACAAGGGCACAGGCGCCCAAATACCACTGCAATGGGAGCGGCAGGAGAGCAGAGACTAGATGGCAATGGAAGGGCAGCACAGAGAAGTGCAAGACGGAGGGGGGAAATAAGATATTAGTATTAATAATGGCAGGACCCAGTATTCAAATCAACCATCAGGAGAAGTTAGAGGAACAGAGGAAGGTGGGGGTAAGCAGAGAGTGAGACAAGAGCTTCTCAAAAGAGCGCAGGGCCAGGTTTCCTAGCATTCAGCACCCACAGTCAGAGCTGGATTTTCCAAAGAGATCAGCTCCTATTCAAGCACCTAAATCAGGGCCAGATTTGCAGAAAGGCTCCACCCGGACCAGCTCCCCGTGTGACACTTATGGCCAGATTTTCACAAGCGCTCAGCTCTCAGCGGGTACCCACTGTGCTCAGCTCATCTGATAATCCGGTCCAGAGAACACAATAAAATGGGATTCTTTAATGCATTTCCAGCCACAGTGAGCTACGGGGCTGCTTACAAGAAGCCAACCAGCCAACTGGAAGATGCGCATAGACCTCCTTTACCCTAACGGATCTGACATATAATTTAGCATCTCTCTAACAAAGCTAAGGTAGTGCTAGGGAGTGATCCAGGGTGCGCAATAGGCTTAAAAGCTGTTACCACCTATGCAAGAGAATACCCTGTTCATGTCATCTTCTAAAAGCTATATTCTTCTGAACTCTGTACCACGGTGCAATATAAAAACTACAAACACACTGAGTCATAAGACAGTAACATGCCAGTCTTATGAATAAGGCTCACAATTTTAGCTGAATTCTGTTCCTTTCAGTTATACAGGGCATTTCTCGCCCTACAGTTTCAGTGTAGCACATTGCAAGAGTAAGACGAAAGGGCAGCTCCCAGCGTCAGTAAGAGGGGTGTACAAGACTGATATTTTCATAACAACTCAGGCACAGTAGCTCATGTTCTGCTCTGTTACATGCCTGCAAATGTCTAGATTTCGGTGGGGTTACACAAGCTCAGAGTTTGGCCCAACGTTAATTCAGCTCTCTGCTTAGAGGAACGAAAGGCCATCTTGAGCCCCATCTATGCTACAGTTACAACCCGTGGCCCAGTTAACAGCACTGTTATCCCCTGACTTGATTATAACATTCCATTTTGTAGAGCAGACAGAACCAGAACCATGTCTTAGGATTTAGCCCATATAAGAAACAAAGCCTAGATGCCATCTGCCCTACAAATTAGAGCCAGGTCTCCTGCTTGATTGTGACTGTTATGTCAATGGGGCCTTAGCAAGCTCTAGTAGAAGCTATCACCTTCTGAACCGTAGGAGGCATGGACTAGTGCTCTGACCACAGGACTGGGAGCCAGGAGCTCCTGAGTTCTAGCCTTTATAACCATGCAGCATTCTAGCAAGCGGTGACTTCAGGCAAGTCACTTTACCACCTTGTACTTCAGTTTGCCCATCTGTAAAATAGCGATAATACCAACTGCAGCAGGGCGTTGTGATTTAAATAGCTAATATCTAATATATGTAAAGTCGAGTGCCATGACACATTTTGAAGATAGCTCTGTAATGCTGCTCAGTGCACCTCGGACACATGGGAAACACCCCCCACTGCCCAAAATACCTGCCACTTCCCAATAAGAATGTCAGCAACCGTTTTAAGAATCTTGCCCGTGCACTGAAGAGCCACAAACAGGGCCCTGGTTTATTAAGGCAGGAGGGGGTTGCTCATTTTGCCCCGCACAGGATTATAAATCCAAGACACCAAAAATCCATTCTTAGGGAAACCCTAAAAGGCCCATGCAGCACAGGCTGGACACCAGGAAGAAGCATATCAACATGAACATGGCATTTCCAACTGAGCAATCATTGGTCTGTATTTGCATAATCTCACCTTTGAACACACAGGCAGTAAATTAAGTGCTGGCAAAAGATACTGACCTGGGAATCTGAAATCCACTATCCATATCACAGGCTGGGCAAGCTTCCTGCGCACCGTCCCCTTCCAATACGCACCACCCCTGACTTGGCAAGTAGTTCGGTCTCCTAGTCAAGATGCTTCTGCTGATCTCCTCTAGGACATCTCCAAGTACAATCATCTCCAAGTACATACAGCCCTTGGCTCCTCTGCTCAAAATGCCATCAATGCAGCTCCGGGAGTGCCGGCTGGGATGGCAATTGCCCCTCTATTCTAATTCCAAGACTATTTACAGGTACTAATCAGAGTTATCTACCGAATGCCTCCTTCATAAGTCAAGAGAACAGTTTCAAAACAAACACTTTATATCCACAAGAGTATCATGTAAATAATGACAGGTTTCAGAGGAACAGCCGTGTTAGTCTGTATTCGCAAAAAGAAAAGGAGTACTTGTGGCACCTTAGAGACTAACCAATTTATTTGAGCATGAGCTTTCGTGAGCTACAGCTCACTTCATCAGATGCATACCGTTGGAAACTGCAGCAGACTTTATAAATACACAGAGAATATGAAACAATACCTCCTCCCACCCCACTGTCCTGCTGGTAATAGCTTATCTAAAGTGATCAACAGGTGGGCCATTTCCAGCACAAATCCAGGTTTTCTCACCCTCCACCCCCCCACACAAATTCACTCTCCTGCTGGTGCTAGCCCATCCAAAGTGACAACTCTTTACATAATCAAGTCGGGCTATTTCCTGCATAAATCCAGGTTTACAGATAGAGACTACAAAAGTCAGCTACAGGGATCAGTAAGATGGTAAATAATCAGCTGATTTTGATATGCAATAGCTGTCCTCACATCCAAGTGTCCACGTCTGTGTGGAAATCTCTCACAGTGCTGTTGCACGTTTTCTATTTAAGCGAGATCTTAACACAAGATTTGCTACAGATCCCCTGCCTGGCTGCACTTGGAAGCCTCAGTGATTTGTGAAGAATGCTGCTGTCCCTCACACATGCCTTGTGTGAAGTTGAAATCGGACTGTACCCTCTTCAACCCTGTAGCAACTTCATGTTTAGAGTGTTATTGTTTGAGGTTGAATCTTGTTTGGCCAACCTCCCCGTGCGTAAGATAACAGTGTGATTGCTGACACTGGGGTTATTAAAACAGGCTTTCCACAATGTTTTTAAAGATTGGGTTAAATAAATACATTGGGAAGTCTGGAGTAAGACTTGCAGTTTCCCTGCTGCATGCACCATCTCTGCACCGAGCTCAATAAAATCAATGACACTCCACATGGATGCAGCGAGGTACTAGCTGGATGGACCCAAGTACAGAATCAGGCTCCTACAGAATGAAACCTGCAGCCTTTACTCTCATGAGCAATTCCACTGACTTCAATGGAACTGCTCAGGTGAGTGAGGGCTACGGGTCCATTACAAAGGGTTTAGCTGGTGCAGGATCTTTCACACAACTTGTCTCCCCAGATGCTTTGAGTTCCATCCTGCAATCAGAGAAATAGACAAAAGCAAAGAGAAAGTCAGGGGGGAGTGGAGAGAGAGGGAAAAGAGGAGAAATGAAAGACATGTTTTCAGAGGTGATGTGAAATAGGGACGGGAGACCTGGAGCCCACGCATGGGGCGTCTCAAGCCAGAAGGGGGAGAGTTGCAAGCTGCTGGAGGAACATGAAATAAAAATTGGAGCTGTTAGAGCAAAAGTGACGGTACAACCTGAACTAGGGCCCTGCTCTCCCGGCTGACCTAGGGGGGCACAGAAAGGAGCGTCCCCACAAGGCCCCATACAGCGCCGGGAAGGAGGCTACAGCCAAGCCACGTGGGAAGTTCAGGGTCCCGAAGCTGGCCGGAGAGGGAAGGTGGTGTGAGCAGGGGGACAGGGCAGGCGCTCGGTTCTCGATCAGAGCCGGCATGGCCCCCGGGCCGGGGGGGGTGAGGCTGATCGGGGGGGCCCTGAGCTCGCCAGGGGCCTTACGTTCTCTTGAAGACTCCCCCGAGGCAGCTGCCGAGCAGGAGGCAGAACTGCTGCGAGAAGAAGACCCAGGTGATCTGGGAGAGCGAGCTCTGGGTCTGGCAGCGCAGGTCCAGCAGGGTGGGCCCCAGGAAGGCGATGCAGAGCCCGAAGCTGAAGAAGACGCTCCAGTAGGTGAGGGTGGGCTGCAGGTTCCTCCGGAACAGGGCAGCCACCCGCTCATCCCACACCATCCTGGGCTCGGGCTCCGGCGAGGAGAGCCGCCCGCAGCGGGTTCCCGGCCACGGGCAGGGCTCGGCTCAGCGCGGGGGCCGGCGGGTGGACAGCGCGCCGGATCTCATGCGCCCGGGAGCCCTTCTCCCGCTCCCCGGGCAATCCGGAGTCGCTCCGCTTTCGCTGCAGCCGGCGCTCCGCTCCCCGGGCAGCGGGGATGTGCCTGGCGCGGGCAGGCAGCGCTGCTGGACTCGGGCGCTGGCCCCGCCCCTGGGCCCGGGGGGCAGCGGCCACCGCCTCCCGGGGCAGCAGCGGGGGCGGGGGCTCGGGCTCGCCGCGGTGCCCAGAGGCCAGCGGGTCGGAGCCTGGGCAAGGAGCTGCGGGGCTGCAGCAGTTTGTAGAGTGGGGGGCGGAGACCGGGGATTTGGGTTATTGGTCCTGTGCAAGGAGGAAAGCGGGGAAATCCCCGCCCCGGCCAGGCACTGGGTCAGGTCCCTCTGCCCGCTGGATCGTGGGCTCCGTCAGGCTGCAGCAAAGGGAAATGTGAGCGCCCACCGGCCCTGCTGGAGCCTAGGCCACAGGTGCTGGAACTAGGGGCGCTGCCTTTGCACCCCCCTGGCTTGAAGCGGTTTCCATCATGTGCGGGGTTTACAGTTTGGTTCAGTGGCTCTCAGCCTCCCCCCACAGATTGTCCCTGCACCCCTGGGCTGGGCTGCAGTGAAGTGCCAGCCAGGAGGGCTCCAGCAGCCTGGGCCCTGAGCTCCTGGCTCAGGCTCTCAGAAGGGAGGCCACCCAGCTGAATGTTGGGTTAGTTTCTAGGCCCTTCGCCCTTTACATGGCCTGTCTGGAGGCTTCTAAAAGAAACCCAGGGGGGAAAAAACAAACCCACTTTTGTTTCGGGGTTCTTCTTCCCCTAGTGTGGCTTAAAAGGCTCTTTACAGCAAGCGGAAAACCCACTAAGGCCCTGCACCTGCAAACATGTATGCATCCGCTTAACTTTAGCCCCATGCCCATAGTAGTAAAGCTGATCACTCATTTAGCCTCTGACCAGTGATTGTTCGAACACTCTTCCCAGGCAAAGCAGTGTCCCAGAGTCCAGCCAGGCTGGATGGGTTAGTTCTGGCCCATGTGTCAGCGTGGCATGCGTGAGCTTTATGGCATGGCTTAGGAATGCTGCTGCAGAGCCTGTCGGTTCTAGTTTGCACAATAGGTTGTTATTTTAGAGCGTGGGGAATCCACACTGCACCTGACCCCTGGTTCTTCATCGTTACATTCATTTGCTAGCATGTCACACATCCCGGGAGGCCAATAGGAGTTGGGACTGATTGAGGAGTTCAGGATCAGGCCCTCATTTCCCAGCTCACTCAGAAAATTGTATCCAAAAGACTTTGAGTTAATAAACAAAAGCAGCCTAAGAAAGGAAACATTAATGAATAGGCACAGGCTAGTGAGAGAACTCCCTTGTTTGTTAAGTGAGTGAAAGATGAAACCATTAAAGAAACCTCTCAACTTCCCTGTGAGATAGGTCAGTGTTATCCTATTTTACAGCTGGGAAAACGGAGGCACCCAGAGGTGAAGTTACTTGCTCAAGGTCACTCAGTGAGTCAGTGGCAGAGCCAAAAATCGAATTGCACCCTAATGATTTATCCGCCACTCACATTTTTTTTTACTAGGCAGGTCAGGTAACCTACCCATGTCACAGAGGAAGGGTGGTCAGAAGCTCTGGGTTCAGGTCCTGATTCTGCCACATCATAACTTTTCACTGTAGACAAAACTTTTCCTCTCTCTACCTTAGTTTCCCGATCTGTAAAATGGGGATAATGATTCTTATTGACAGCATGGAGGGAAGTTTGTCAGGATGTTTGTAAAAGGGCTGAGAAGAGAGATTTGAAAGCCAGAAGGGATTGTTAGACATGCATTGTCTGCTGTCTCAGTTACTTTTCTCTAGCCTTGCCTCACTCATATCCCTTGAGAACGCTGCTGTGCAGATCTTTTCTTAGCCTGTCTTGTTGACCATGTCACCTTTTCTTTAGCACATCAAACATAAGCTCCTTGTCCTCCATACCCTTCACAGCCTGTCTCCACCCTACTGCTCTTCTCTCCTCCACTATCAAAAGGTCCACTCCTGCCTCCTATTGGCCAATGAGCATCTGTCATCCACTTGTTACATTTTCAAACAAGCCCCTTTGTGCTTTGCTTTCTCTCATGGTGCCCCGCCCGCTTGGGAGGCGCTCCCGTAAACTGCCACACAGCTACCTCCTTATCCACCTTCAACTCCCTCCTTAAGATCCCCAAGAATGCTGATAAAAAATCTGACCACAGTTAGGCTGCTGGTGAACTGAGACCACTGTTTGTCATGCTGACCAATATAATCTCAACGTTTCCTTGTACCTCCTGTTGGTCTGTATCTATCTGTTGTCTCTTGCTTTATGTTAGATGGTAAGCTCCATGGGGCAGGTCTTTTTGTTCTGTGTTTGTACAGCACCTGGCACAATAAATAAATAACAGTCTGACCACCTGTATAATGCAGGCTATTGAATTTCACCTGGTTATCCTGTATTCAGCCCCATGACTTGTGTTTGGCTAAAGCATCTCTTCCAGAAAGGCATCCCAGCTTGATCTGAAAACCTCAAGAGATGGAGAATCTACCACTTCCCGTGGTAGTCTGTTCCAGTGGTTAACCACCCGCTCTGTTAAAAGTTTGTTATTTCTAGTTTGAAGTAGAATCATAGACTATTCGGGTTGGAAGAGATTTCAGGAGGTCATCTAGTCCAATCCCCTGCTCAAAGCAGGACCAACCCCAACTAAATCATCTCAGCCAGGGCTTTGGCAAGCTAGGCCTTAAAAACCTCTAAGGATGGAGATTCCACCACCTCCCTAGGTAACCCAGTCCAGTGCTTCATCACCCTCCTCATGAAATAGTTTTTCTTAATATATAACCTAGACCTATCCCACTGCAACTTGAGACCATTGCTTCTTGTTCTGTCATCTGGTACCACTGAGAACAGTCTAGATCCATCCTCTTTGGAACCCCCCTTCAGGTAGTTGAAGGTTGCTATCAAATCCCCCCTCACTTTTCTCTTCTGCCGACTAAATAACCCCAGTTCCCTCAGTCTCTCCTCATAAGTCATGTGCCTCAGCCCCCTAATCATTTTCACTGCCCACTAAATAACCCCAGTTCCCTCAGTCTCTCCTCATAAGTCATGTGCCTCCGCCCCCTAATCATTTTCACTGCCCTCCGCTGGACTCTCTCCAATTTGTCCACATCCCTTCTGTAGTGGGGGGCCCAAAACTGGACGCAATACTCCAGATGTGGCCCCACCAGTGCCGAATAGAGGGGAATAATCACTTCCCTCGATCTGCTGGCAATGCTCCTACTAATGCAGCCCAATATGCCGTTGGCCTTCTTGGCAACAAGGGCACACTGTTGACTCATATCTAGCTTCTCATCCACTGTAACCCTCAGGTCCTTTCTGCAGAACTGCCTCTCAGCCAATCGGTCCCCAGCCTGTAGCGGTGCATGGGATTCTTCCTTCCTAAGTGCAGGATTCTGCACTTTGGCTGCTTGTCAAGTATTAAGTTATAGCAATATTTTCCAAAGTTGCCAGGCATTTTACACACACTACGCAAACCCCGTGGGAAAAGCTTGGAGATTGTTTTCTGAGAGACCTGAAGTGACATAGTGCTTGGAAAAAGAAAAGCGCTATAGACATTTTTTGTATGGACGCTGAACTGGTATGAACAACGATGGATTTCAGCTATTTTGCTTTTAATCACACCAGATGGTGAATGAGGAAACAAATTATTCATTTTATATCTGTCCTGTATCTTACGCCAGGATCAGTTCTGTATTTGATCCAATTTTATTGAACCAGTGGACGGGGAGCTAGACTGGGCACGTGTTCTCTTCCCAGCTTTGAATCAGTGCACCACCTTAAGCAACGCCGTGCCTCAGTTTCTCCAGCTGGAAAATGGAGATAACAACCCTTTGGCGCTTCAAATGAAAAGCAATGTCTAAGCTCGGTGTCACGGTTAGCACATTTCAAATTCCAGCTACATCTGACATGGCCTTAGCAAGTAAGGATTTAAATACCAGCACTGGTCCTGGGAATGTCAGGCCATTTTAAGCAATACTGATAAGGGAGGTGACAGAAGATATGTTTGTAAAGGCTTGTCTGCATACGAACACACAAACCCCCTAGTGTCCCCAGTGGGCTGAGCCCCTGTACTGAGTAACTCATAGTACATATAATGGTAGCCCCAGGGCCTGCATCTAATAGCAGAACTAGTTTTACAAAGAGACACTTTCGCTGATTTTCAAATCCTGGGATCAATTTTGTACAGATAGTGAATGAACAGCCACATTTCTGGGCCTGCTGTGAATTGCATGGTAAAACCAAGAATGAATTATTAATAGCAGCAGACCTACAGCCAACAACATTATCTGATGTTTGCTAACATGGCTCAAAGAGAGCTGAGTATTTAAGCAACATCGTCTCTTCACTTTCTGCTGCCCTCGGCCCCTCTTGTTTGGGGAGCATGAGGCATGAAAGCCTGTTTCAGCCTCCCCTGTCCAGACGTGGTCCTCTTTGTGGCGGATGGGGTGATTGCTGGCTTACTGTGACGGGCCATGGTTTGTCATGACTGTATTTTAATATAGCTCCAAGCAGGAAGCTGGCTGTCATCATTCAATCTAATATTGTTATGGTGCTGGTGCTGCTTCCCTCAGCCGAATCTCTGGAGGAGAGGGGAAATCACTGCTTACGTAAGGGGTTGATGAAGGCGGGGCTCTGTGGGGCAGTATGTTTCAGCTTTTCACTTGGGAAGACACCAGGGCAAACCGTGAAAACAAACAGCAGCGTTGGCTGGACTCTCCTCCCAGGCCCAGTTGCAGGATTGGTTGGTCTCTTGCTCACAAACCCAGCAGCAGTGGGACAGGACAGCCTGTCTTCAGACAGCGGAGTAGGGAGGGATGCCGCAGGTCAGGACATGGGGACTACTGGCAGAGCTGACTAGCGTCCCAGCACTGGAACAGAGACCCCGAATGGAGAAGCTCCTGCCAACACTGGCCAAAACATTCAGAAATGGCCAGTGGTTCGGGATGCCTGGCACTTGTTTTTTTTCAGAATTGCTGAGCGAGCATCGACGTCATCTGGAGTTGTGGGTTCCCAGCACAGTACTGCAGCCTGGGAACCACCCAGAATCACTGGCAACTTCTGAACATTCTGGCCACTCCAGGCAGCAGGTCCCAGCCCTCACCTGCCCGAGGACCAGCTGCAAGATAGGTGCCTCTGCAAGGGAGGGTGCTTGTTCACTCGGAGTTCCCATTAGCTTTTGGGCTCGGCTGAGGCCCAGCTCAGAAAAGGTATTTAAATACCAAATACCTATTGAAATCAATGGGAGTTAGGTGCCTAAATACCTTTAGGGATGAAGGCTGCAAGGCTTTGGGGCAGTACATCCCCAGGAGCAGGACTAGGGTGCTCATCGGGCATTCTACTTCCCGTCTGACGCTCCTGGCTGAGGAACCCTACCCCTCTTTATGAATTCACAGGCACAAGAGCATGTGGCCTGCAAAGCCTGTGCTTCTATGGGGTACAGCACGCCCTCCCCCAGCTCTGCTGCCCTTCCTTTGTCCTTTCCCTTCAACCCTTTTCAGGGATCCACAGATCCAGGCCCAGTCAGGGCCAATATCCTTGCAAGTACTCCTACACTGATGCATTGCGCCTGCAGCCAGATACAGTGGCACAGCGGGAAGAACAAGAGATGTGTGTGCTTCCCCCATGCCCACTGAGCGTGAACTTCAAACCCTTTCAACTGCTGCAATGGCCAACCTAAGAACCTTTAAGCGAATTTGTGTGGAAATGGAAACACCCAGCCAGAGTCATCGAAACTTAATGAGAAAAGACTTTGTGTTTCTTTTACCCACAATACAATGGAAACTCTCAAACAATGGGTCGAATTCCTCCAGAATGCACACGTTCAGTATCTGTGCTTGTACTCTGGGAATGAATGGTCATGGGCAGCTAGGACTGCTGCACGTTAATGTCATATTCTGGAGAAATTATCAGCCAGATTTTCAGAACAGTTCAGCACATTGGGTGCTAGATGCTCTGAAAATCTGGTCCAATTGTGGGTGCTGAGTACTTTGATGTCTGGCCCTAGATTACACCTTCCTGGTTAAAGGTAACACTAAAATCATGGTCTGGTCATTAAAGATCCCATGACTCTTGTCTCCCGGCCATCCAATTTGAATAATTCCTCTCATCTAAATTCCCTCTGCAGTTTCAGATGCATTAAAAATTCTTCCTCATTTACCAACCTGAAACTGTTCTGCATTATTGCTTTGTGCTGTTAAAGAGCTACCACGCTCCTTCCCAGGGGTGGCTGCATTTTAATGGGGGGGGGGAAGGGAAAATAGTCTCAATACCTCATTCAGGACGGTAAATATCATCCCCATTTTACAGATGGATAAACTGAGACACAGAGAGTGAAGTGGTTTGCTCAACCCATATGAACAGATCCTTGGTCAAGCTGGGTGGATCATGCTGTGTAGAATCACTGGCAGGCAGCTGTTTAGAAAATGGCATTTCTATCCCATGGGAAAGTCCAATGTTTCTATGTTTGTTTTCATCCCCAAAAGTCAAAATACCAAAAAGCTTGGGAAAATTCCAGTTCAGAAACATCAGAGTGAAACATTGCAACATCTTCAACCAAGACTAAACATTTTACTTTGAATTTTCCCAGTGACAAATCAGAAAATTTAGTCAAGATTAAACATTGTCCCTTGAAAACTAAATCCCGTAGTTTGTCAGAAAAATTCCAGTGGGCTCTATTGGTGTGTTATCTGGGGATGGACAGCAGAAGATCGCACCCAAGGGGAGAGCCATCAGTCAAAAAAGGAAACAAAAATAGATCTGCTAATGAGGCTCAGCTCATTAGAAGAAGTCAGAGTTGTTTGGGTAACTCGTACACCAAACTCCCATTAGTCCCCCAGGGGAAAGACCCAGATTCAGGACCACATTCCAACAGTATCCTGCCAGCCACTGCCACAGCCGTGTGACTGGAGCAATGCGGAAACAAAGACAGAACAGAACCAGTTTGACAAACAAAACATCATCGTACAGCACCTGACCATGCGTCACACCTGTGTCAGCTGCAACCTTGTTTGAACATGAGTGAAGCTGGCTGGGCTCCAGTATGGGATCCCTCAGCACTGCACTGTGGACTGGGATTTCTTTTCAGCGGCATATTATAGTCCCCAAATTAGTCCAGGACCTGGGTCAAAACCCGGCTAGCAGTGGTGTTTGAAAACGGCTATGGCTCACACAGCTCTGAGCGCCAGGAGTAAGCACTGTTTAGTGGTCAGGGCTCCCAGGGCAATGGCAGCCAGGATACCTGGGTTCTATTCCCAGTTCTGCCCTCTACTTGCAGGGTAGTCATGGGTGAGCCATATCTGTGCTTTGCCTCAGTTAAACCATCTCAGATCATCACCCCCCTCACAGGGTTTTTGTGAGGCTTCGTGAACTATCTGGGAGGCGCTTTGAGATCCTCAGACAACAGGGGCTCTGGAATTGCCTGTGGTTTCTATTGTGGGCAAGCCCCTCTATCCTTGTGTCTCAATCCAGGTTGGGTAAAGGCACCTGAAGCCTCACCCCACAGCAAAGCATTGTGTCTGACCTGAGCTTTCACCACGGGGAAAAAACGGGAAGTCCTGCGACAATGCCTTGTACGAAAGGTTGCCTCTCCCACAGGGCCTATTGCATTTTTGAGTCTCTCTAGGAGGACCATGCAAAAGTGGAGATAAAGGAGAGAAACACAGTCACCTGTGCTAAGCAAAAACAAAGCAGGTCAGCTGCAAGGCTGTGGTCTCCAAGTGTCTGATCCAGGGATGATGAGATATGCTCCAGCTGGGAAAGCACCACATTTACTGCCTTCCCAGGCCCACTGCTCAGATATTAATGAAGGTAACACACCTCAAGGTAGGACAGCTCCGCACTGGGCATGAGCTAGCTCCAAGTGCCCTGAATGTGCACTGCTTTGCCTTGCTACAGCACCTCTAATCAGGGGAACTCTGTGCTTTACACACATCATGGACCCAATTCTCCGCTGCTATAAACTGGCACTGCTGTACAGATTTACACCAGTGGAGAATTTGGGCCAATTAATTCTCACACAGCCCCCCAGTGATGTGTCACTGTGTCCATTTGCAGCTCGGGGAACCTGATATGTCTAGCAACCTGAACGAACAGCATATTTCTCTGCGGATGAACCCGGTACTCCTAGGTAACTAACAAATTGCTCTCCTCCCTTTAATCCGTATTCCTGCCGTGTGGTTTAGCTTGAAGTCTAGGGAACAAACATGTTAGCACGAAGTGGCACAAGATTATGGAGCAGGGGAAAGGTGAAAAAACAAAGGGTTCCAGGCCTGCATATCCTAGGAAATGAAATTATGGCGCTAAATTCCTGCAAATACATTGTCCTGTCCCTTTAAAGACCAGACGAATACAAGTAAAACAACAGTTCTCAAACTTCACTGCACTGCAACAGCCTTCTGACCACGAAAATTACTACATGACCCCAGGAGGGGGGACCAAAGCCTGAGCCTGCCCAGGCCCCACCACCCCGGGTGGGTGGGGGGCAAAGCCAAAGCCTGAGCACCACTGCCTCGGGCAGGCGAGGGGCGAAGCTGAAGCCCAAGAGTTTCAGCCCTGGGTTGGGGGCCTGTAACCTGAGTCCCACTGCCCAGGGCTGAAGGCAGGGCCTGAGCCCGCCGCTCAGGGCTGAAGCCCTCAGGCTTTGGCCCTGGTCCCCTGTAAGTCTAATTCCAGCCCTGGCGACCCCATTAAAATAGGGTCCTGACCCACAGTTTGAGAACCCCTGCAGTAAAACTGTCTTCACATAGAGACCGGACAGCAAAGTGGCTCACCTTGGTTTTCTGCTCAGCTCTCATGGATCTTCTCTGTCCAAGTCAGCTCCAGGCAGCACAGTACAGGAAAATTAACCAATTACCCCCAGCTGGTCCAGCCCTCCAACTCCAGGCACTCAACGATCCTTTTTGACCAACAAAGTATTAACCTCTTCCCTGCCAACTCTTGGTGAGGTCCATCAGTGACCCACTATCAGATAGCAACATCTTTCAGGCCCTACACACTTGGGCCCTGATCCTGTAGCTGGCACCAGGTGGCTGGGTCCTTAAACATGTGGGGAATCCCACTGATTTGAAGGCTATGTAGACTTGATTGCAGAATTGGGCCCTTGGTCTGGATTTAAACTGGGAACCTAAGGCCAGATCCTCCAAGTTATTTAGGTGCCTAAACATGTTTGAGGATCTGGGCCCTAGGACCAGATTTTCAAAGGTACTGAAGCACCTAAACACACAGATAGGCACCTAGGGGGATTTTCAAAAGCACCAAGCTACCACTGAAATCCTAGTTGTAAGGGGAAAAACTTCAACCAGCTCTAGTGAAGGGACTGCACTAGCCAACCTCACTGATTCAAAACTACACACCAAAGCAGACATTTAACCCTTCCAAACAGATAAAACCCCAAACAAAACTACCATCTACTCAATAAAGTTTATTTTCCAATCTTGGCTTCGTAGCATTCACAATACATTTGTAATATAAGCCTTAGCAAGAAAACAAACACATTCTCAAAACAGTCCATGGCATATCTGAAATACAAAAATTGCAGGATCTTTATAAAAACATTCCGACACAAGGATACCATCTTTTATTTATTTTTGTACCTTTCGATTAATTCCAGAGAAACTTTCCATACAAAAAATCATTGCAGCTTTTGGAATAAACCTTTAAAATGATTCCTTTTAAAATTCATCTTCTGTTTTTACAATAATAGTTAAATATATTATTTGTATTTGCAAATGAATCACACCAGAGAACATTCACAGTATGGGTACCCTTGGTGGCTGGCGCACGTGGGTGTGTATATTTCCCCTTCCAGGAAAAGCAAGATGCTGAGGACGAAGAAGGTGACGAATAAACCAGAAAGCGGGCTTCTTACTATTTGCACCTGTTAACACAGGACACCACTAGCAAGAAATTCTGAAGGGACAGCAAGGTGCATTCAACAACAAGACTCAAGAGTACAGGAGAAGAACAGGTAAAGTACAGCTAAAGCAATATTTTCAGGCAAAGATCCGTGGCTCTTGGCACGAGGGGCCTTGTTAGTTTCAACCCCAATTCGCACAAAGACCGAACTGCATGTGTTGAACCCCCTGGGCCAATATTTTGCTCTGAGTTAGACCAGTGTAAATCCAGACTTTAGCAGAGGGATGCCAGATTTGCACTGGTGAAACTGAGCAGACTCTGGCCAGCTAGGGCTAGAAAATGGTGGTAGTGTGGGGTGCGATGGTTTCAGTTCTCTGGGGACTTCACTTCCCTGGGGGCTGTGCAGGCCCCTCAGGATTAAGATGTCAGAGGCATAGCAGCATGCCTACTGAAGGCAATGGGAGGCTTTCCACAGACCTCAGTGAGCAGTGGATCAGGCCCTATGGACTGAGAGATCTCACTAGGAGCCGGTTGGTTGAACTGATATGAATTATGCTGTAGCATTTGGTTATGGCCTGGTTCTAGGACTCCACTGAGGATGCTCCCCTTGAGTAGGGATCACTCCAATGAGTGAGGTTTGCAGGCATCAAAAATTTGCAGCTGCACCTGACATGGGATCTTCCTATCAAAGGCCACAGTGACAGCGTCCTAATTAAGATAAAGGGATCTATTTCTGCTTTCAGTTCCACCAGTGTGGAATACCCACTGAGAGCAGAATCAAACCCATGGGGGTCCTGGACTCCACACACAGATATTAAGGCACAAAGCCCACTGAGATGCGAATCTGTAGGGCTCAGCCATTTCCACCTTCCTGCTGTTTCTCCACCTGTCTGCTTTTTTCCCGAGCCTTAGTGACTCAAGGTTCTTGCATCACTGGGGCCTTGTCCTCATTCAAAAATGAGGCTGTTAGAACATGACCTTGAGGAGGCATATTAATTAAAGTGGTGTTAAATACACCTTTGCAGTCAGTGCAGACAGAAATCTGTGTGTGTTAATATATGGTGCCAGCTGGACCTCTAGGTTTAACCCCAACCAGCTGGTCTGATCTTAAGCACCATTTTCCCCTACAAGATGACATGGACTGCAAAGTCATGTTAAACATCGTGTTAGTTAAATCAACTGCTCAAGATCATGTTCTAACAATGACCTCATTTCTGAGTGAAGCCAAGTCATGAGAAAACACACACACAGCTCGGAAGCAAGGAGAAAATGGTTTCTCTAATTATCCACCTTAAAGGAGAGGGAGCAAAATGCTTATTTCCTCGTTACCATGAGAACAGACACACTGCAGTTTTGCTATTTAAAATCGCAACAAAAGTCTGCAAATGTGTCAAGCCAGGAAAGGTGCATGGGGAGTCGGAAATAAAATGACAAAGTTTTATTGTTGCCCTGTAACACAGACATTATTATTGACACGAGCGTTCTCGGCATTACTGGAGCCAGAGATCAGCTGTTGGGACGGAAAAATACAGCGTTTTAAAGGAGTACTGCCTAGATTTGAAAGAAAAATCCAACTCACTTTTTTTCTAGAGCTGGTCAAGAAATTTAAAGAAGTCTACCAAAAAACCAAGAAATTAAAAAAAAAAATGTGCAGAAAAGTTTCCTTGAAATTCCAGTTGTTGGAAAAATTTCAACCACACTGAAGGCTGGTCAAAACACACTCAAACCTGTGAACATTAAAAAAATAAAACCATAGCAACCTCCAGTTTTTCAACCAGCTCTACTTTTAACCCACTATTCCATGTATGTGTTTCATCAGGCGATATTAGACTGATCAGTTTCACTTCCTGGTCTTAGTGCTGTTGTTCTGGAGAATGTTTAAATCCACCGATTTAAATGTATTGAGTTAATGAAAGTCATGGCCATTTTTCTATTAGGTTTTATAAAAAGCATTTTTAAATGCGGGGGAGGTCCTATTATTAGCCAAGGTGGCCAGGGATGCAACCTCATGTTCTGGGTGTCTCTAAACCTCCAACTGCCAGAAGCCAGGATTGGACGACAGGGGACGGATCACTCAAAATTGCCCTGTTCTGTTCATTCCCTCTGAAGCATCTGGCTTTGGCCAGTGTCAGAGACAGGACAGTGGGCTAGATGGACCCATGGACTAACCCAGTATAGCTGTTCTTATGTCCTTTTAATTCTACTTGCTGGCCATGAGGGGGGAAAAGGTTCACATATCACTGGGGATAGAACAGGTTTCGGGTAAGACTCTCTCCAAGCCTTGCCTGAACTGGCTGTCAGACTGGGACAGAGCTAAACGAAACCCAGTTTCCAGCAAGGAACTACTTGTGCTCACAAACCTAATACTGGATTAGCCTTGAAGTGTGCCAGCTCATGGCAATACCATATTACAGTACAATGCATGCTTCTTGTCAAACAGACGAGGTAGGTCAGCGATTCCTGGCTGAATCTCTATTCTAGTTCTTGAATCTATGAAATTATCAATTGCATTTGCCATCTCCCTTCTGCAAACAGCTCAGCTGCACGAAGCAATTACCAAATAATGCCCATGAAACTCTAGGAAACAAAATACAACCAATGCTTCAGCCTTGAAAACATTCAAATTAATGCAACGCTCTACATACACAGTGGAACAGAACTGGATTCATTTGCCATAGGAGACAGAGCTGAATGCTCAGCAGATGCAAATCTGCAGAGGGGCCAGATTTATAAACATATTGTGGCACCTAAGCATGCGGATAGGTGCCTAGTTGGATTTAACAGCGAGTTGGATACTTATCGCCTACTGGCTTTCAATGGGAGTTTGGCACCTAACCTGCTTAGAAGCTTTTGTAAACCCCAGTAGAAGCCTATCTGCCTCTTCAGGCACCTAAATACCATTGTATATCTGGCCCTAGCTCCACTGGCTCCAGTGGGGCTATGGCAATTTACATTTGCTCCGGATCTGACCAGTGTCCTCATGCCACTGTACTAAAAGCTTCTGCTCCGATGTAGGTGTCTGGAAGGCATTTACCGGCAGAGCATGTGCAGGAACCCAGAGATCACACAACTAGGACTCAGCCTGCCAAGCCCTGCCAGGGAGTGAGTCCTGGGGGCTTATAAATCAAACCCTGCTCAGAGGGCTGCCAAATATTTACATGCGCTATCGCTCTCCTGAACAGGAATAATGCAAAAAGAAAAGGAGTCCTTGTGGCACCTTAGAGACTAACACATTTATTTGAGCATAAGCTTTTGTGCTACTCTGAAACCTGTCATTATGCAAGGAATAATGCAGTGGAACAAAAGGTGTTATCTTAAACTCACCCTGATAGCAGCTCAATAGGCTAATAAATAACAGTATCCTGCCCAAGAGATCTCCTTCAGGAAGGGTGTGTGGGGGAACGGACAGAGCTACGCAGGAGTAAAGAGCACACAGATCACAGGCTTGGAGATAACTTTCTCGTTCACTGGAGAAAACAGTCCCGGCTGCACGGTCACGGTCATTCGATACCCTTCTGTCCTAGTCTGCAGCCCTGGATGACTCCACTCGTCGGTGACATTGCCTCCCTTGCTCTCCTCTCCCTAGTATTTCCATGGTGGGCCTCTCTCGAGTGGACAGTGGTGGGGAAAGGGGCAGGCTTCCAGAGGCACTGAACACCCACTGATTCAGCTTAAGCCAACAGGCGCCTCAGATGCTCAGCAACACCTTTGAAAATCAGCCCTATCGGCATTGGCTGGGAGGCAGGGTACGCACTATGCTGACGTGTTTGTCTGTGAGACTCTCCAGAGACTGCTGGATGATGCCAGGTAAGGGAGTTCTCCTTTAGCACCAGTGCGAGAAGCCTGTGTCGTTAGAGCCAAAAGACTAAGGGGGATGGATGAGCTGACTTAATAACATCTTTTCCCACCTTTAATTTCTTTGATTCTATTGACCCTACCAAGCCACTGGCCCTCGCTCCCCTGTAAGCCTTCTTAAAGTCTGGTCTGTCCTTTATCTGAAGATCTGGTCCCTAGGCTTGGAAGGATTTAAGCTGAGTCAGACAGGGCCTGATTTTCAGAGGCACTGGGCACTTCCGACAAAAGTTAATTTCAGTGGGCGCTGCGGGTGCTCAGAAAACAGACTGCAAGCACCAGTAGACCACTGTTTCCTCATCTGCCCCAAAGTCAATGAAAACATCGCTGTCGTTAACAGTGTAACAAATCGTTAGCTGCCCCAGAACCTCACTATGTTGGACATCAAGAATTTCTAGGGCAACTTCTACAGGATGGAACTAGACCTGCCTACCTGGGCTTCATAGGTTCTGTACTCAGAAAGTTCAGTGGGGATCCCCCTTTTGCTCAGGTGGCAGGAGCCTGTGACTTTGGAGCAGGAAGCGCTGAGTTCTATCCTTGCTGTGGCCAGGAAATTCCAAACAGACTTCAAGCACAGAATTGTAGCAATTGTGATTCAGAGGTGGCCACAGATGTTACAACATAACTGATCATGACTTACATGACTAGATGAGTCCTCAGAGCCTGGGGCTGATGAGAGCAGGAAGAACACAGACAAGGTATGTAGGAGAATAAGCAAGAGACATTGGCACTGGGTATGAGTGCTCTACATTCCAGTGATGAGGAGCATTGTCCCAGGCTAGTGATGGACTTGGCCCTATAACTCACAAGGGGGCAGATGGATTAGGTCCATATTCACCCCTAGGCTGGGACATTACGGGACCCAATTTAGCACAGCTCCTTAAACAAGTGCCTAACTTGTAACACGTGAGTAGGCCCACTAACATCAATGGGATTACTCGGGTGCTTAAAACTGAGCCTACACTTAAGTCCCTTGCTGAATCAGAGCCCACAGGAGAAGTTTCATCGATGGGGTAAACAGTCAATTGAGTTACTCACCCACAAATAGAGGTGTCTGCAATGGAAAGAGTAAGCCCATGGCACGGATTCCTGCTCTACCTAGGAAATGCTCATGCAAAAAGCTTTGTTAAGGGATAGCTAAAGGGGAACAGGGGTTAAAACTTACTCTAGCTAACACCAACCAAATATTGTAAACCTTCCTCTTACACGTCAAAAGAAAACCCCTGATACAGCTGACACAGAGAACACTTTTTCTATGTGCATGCAGAAAAGCTGGCCGCATCACTCACGTGCTACCCAGTGAAGTGCTGAATGCGTTAATGGATGGAAACAAAGTGTTTTCCCCAACTTGCTGTATACTGGACACACACCGAAAGAAACCTACCAGGGATGGGCAAATCTCAAACAATACAGAGGTCTGGATGCTTATCTGGGATGAGCCTAACTTGGTCCAACCTGCTTTGGTGTCTAGAGTGGGCTGGGAATCTCATGGGGATGATCATGCTGAGCATTTAGAATCTGACCTGCATTGGAACCTTGGATCCAAACCTCCTCAAGCTTTGGGAAAGTTCAGATCCAGGCCCATTTCTAACTTATGCTTTGCCTCACAGTGAGGCAGCTAATGATTATTAGCCCCATTTGACAGATGAGGAAACTGAGGCACAGAAGAGTGCCATCACCTGCCCAAGGCTACTCGGTGTGTGAGTAGGAGAGTCTGGATTAGAACTCAGGACTTCCTGCCTACCAGTCCCACAGTCAGTCTACCAGCCCATGATCCATGCTCTCTAGAGCAATGCCCCATCATTTCCTGGTGCTAGCTGGGCCATGATGGGTATCGGAGAGGATGAGGTAGCCGGACGGGGAATGAAAACTTAAAAAAATAAATAAAAAAATCCCCAAATCAACCAACCAATCAAAACATTCTGACAAATTTTTCAAACTTCAAAAAAAAAAAAAAAAGTTTCAGGAACTGATTGAGCACGGCCTGGGAATAGAGGGGGAGGAACATATGCAAAGCACACAAAGCACTTGAGTCCCATTGAGTGCAGTAGGTGTGCAATACACGGGGCGAAACCAATATGCTCAGTCCTAGGGAACCGGGTAGGTCGTGAAAGGTGGGTCTGTTTTCTGCTTAATAGGGTGTGCTGTGTTTGAGTTGGGTCATGATCCTGCAGCCTTGCAGAGGTAGGGTCGGCACCTTTGCACGCCCACCACAAAGGTGGAATGACGCAACATTGTGCATTCACAGCTCATTTGCACCAACAGGTGAAACTACTTGTGCTCGTTCACCTTTTGCGGTGAGCTCAAAGATGGGCCCAACTGGCTGGACAATTTGCTGCAATTCCAGAGCCGCATGCTGGGAAATGGGTCCTTTTCCTAGTAGGAACGCACCTTTCCGCGCAAGGCAGATTAGAAACACAGCATGATTTTGATGTAGGAAACGGGACTTCACTGGTTTCTCGCTAAATCAGAGGGGCTGGGAACTGCTGCAAAACAGGTGTCAGAGCTTAGAAAATAAACTTGTGGGGGTGGGTGGGGGGGGCGGGTTGTTGGGGAAACTGAGGGGATCAGAGGAATCCAGCTAATCTGCATTTTCCTCTTTACAGCCTCTTTCCTCTGCACCTCCTGGGGCTGCCGTTCAGGCAATCCCAGGAACTGTGCATGAGACTCAAATTATGGGGTGGGGAAGAGGGATCCCTGGTTGATAACCATGGGGGGAGGGGCTGAAGGGGAGCGCTCCCTCGTTAAATGTTTCCATCCCAACTCAATGTCTGATGTCAGGAAGCCCTGGATGGGGCTCACCGTAGGGCGCCCCCTGCTGGTGAGAGCATGTCCTTCATTCAGTGCAATGCGTCTTGCCAGGTCTGACTTCCCCACCGGTGGGCATAGCAGGGTGCCCAAGCAGAGGCATGCCGTGCATTCACAGAAATGTCTTCTGCGATATGACCACCCAGCTGTCTGCCAATCCTTGGAGATTCTGCCCTCTGCCTGCAGCGCCCCTATTCACTCCAGATCACCGCCCTGTCCTGCAGCAAACAGGACTGTAACAAGGCCGGCACACAAGTCTCCTGAGTTCAGGGCTACTCCCAGGGTAGCTAGTCACTAGTTAAAGTACCTTACCCGGGTATAGAACGCAGTAGTTTACTCTTGGTGGTGGCACATGAAAAATGAGCAACTGGGGGCAGAGCTCCTTTGACAAGAACTACTGGTGGGATGACTGGTGTGAGAAGTGGGATTCTGGGGGGCAGACAGAGGGCACCCCATGGTAGAGGGGCGTTCCAGTATCTTCCTGTTAGAGTCAGCAATTCTGTGGATGGGTCCTGTGGGAGCATGAAGTCCTCTCCTTTCTCAGTGCTTTGATCTCCATGGTGACAAAGGGAACAAGAGCCAGGTTTAAAATATACTCTGTCTCCTGCTTTTCCCTCGGGCTGGAAGAGTAAAAGAGAGAGAGAGAAAGACAAAGACAGAGATCAGAAAGGCTAGAACAGGGGTGGACAAACTTTTTGGTCCGAGGGCCAAATCGGGGTGCAAAATTGTATGGAGGGCCGGGAAGGAAAGGCTGTGCCTCCCCAAACAGCCTGGTCCCCGCCCCCTATCCGCCCCCTCCCACTTCCCGCCCCCTGACTGCCCCCCTCAGAACCTCCGACCCATCCAACCCCCCTGTTCCTTGTCCCCTGACCGCCCCCTCCAGAGACCCCTGCCCCTAACCACCCCCCCGGGGACCCCACCCCCTATCAAATCCCCCCGCTCCCTGTCCCCTGACTGCCCCAATGCCTATCCACACCCCCACCCCTAGACAGGCCCCCTGGGACCCCACCCCCTATCCAATCCCCCCTGTTCCCTGTCCCCTGACCCCCCCTGAACCTCTGCCCTACCCAACCGCTCCCTGCTCCCTGTCCCCTGACTGCCCCCTGGGACCCCCTGCCCCATATCCAACCCCCCGGCCCTGGCCCCCTTACCATGCCGCTGAGAGCAGATTGTCTGGAGCCGCGCCGCCTGGCCGGAACCAGACGCGCTGCCCTGCAGGCATGCGCAGTCCGGCAGCTCAGAGTGCTGCCCGCATGGCGAGCTGAGGCTGCGGGGGAGGGGGAACAGCCGGCCAGGAGCTCAGGGGCCAGGCAGGACTGTCCCGTGGGCCATAGTTTGCCCAACTCTGGACTAGAACAGAGATGCTTCTTGATGATATAACCCACTAACAGTCTCGTGCAATGTCTCCTTCTAGTGGCTAAGTCATGTGGAAAAATGTATGAGTCCGCTACAACCTTTGAGCCAAGGAAACAGAGTCTGGAGACCATGCAGCGTGGTTCAGGCCAAGACTGATCCCTGACATAACTGCATCCAAGCCAGTGGACTTACGCCAGGGGGCCACTGGCCCCATTGTGCTTTTCTGGACACAGCTGAATATTAACAAATGTGTCAATAATATGAAGCTGGAGAAGAAGGGCCCCGCGTGTCAGGCTTTGGAGCCGAACTCGCCCTAAGCTCAGGGATGTTGTGATCTGATGTGTTTAGTTTGGTCCAGGGTCAGCCACAACATCTGAATCTTGATCCAAACTTCCCTGGTCATGAGCGCCCTAATCCAGGGTTCTGGTTTGGTCCACGACAAAGATCTGGATCTGAATCTTCTAAGGTGGGGTGTTGGGGAGGTAGGCCTGGGAGCTGTGTCTGGCCTGCTCAGTGGGTACCGTATTGCTTTTCTTCTGTGGAACTCCAAGTGCCGGCCTGAGAACCCACTCACTCCTGATATGGCAGGTCAGTAAATCTCCAGACGGGACATGACTTGTCCCTAAAGTCACACAGCAGGGCAGTGGCAGAGTTGGGAACAGAACCCAGGAGTCCTGACGCTTAGTCATGACACCATAATTAGGCCCAATCATTTCCCCTCACTAATAACCTCCTCCCAATCAGCTAGGGGACTCTGAGGTGTGTTCACCTGCATATGGGGAAGGGGATGGGGAGAGGCTGCTTTGAGGCATTTCCCACTAATCCAAACAGACTTTCCCCTGACATTAATCTGAGAAACAAACAATGGGACCCGCCTGGCTGCTTGGAAGAGAAGGTCACCGCAGCGCGGCGTACACATCACCCGCATGGCACTGCCTGGACAGTGTGGAAAGGCTGGCAGGATACCAGGTGCTTGAGGCGTTGCACATGGATGCAGTCCAGTGTTATCACTGCAGCGGGCGTCAGCGTGACCACACCAGCGCGGGGCAGGCCAGGATCTCCCAAGGCCAGCAGGAGACAGGATCGGTGTGGGAGGCAGAGCTCCCCACACTGGCCTTGCTGCTTCTAGTGTCTGTCTCCACTGGGCTGGGGGCGTAATTGCCAGCTGAGGCAGACATCCCCTGTGATGGAGCCGGTGTGCTAAAACCAGCGGTGTAGCCGCGGTGGCAGGACGGGCTAGCCGCCCCATTACGTACCTACGGTTTCAGACAGGACTGGGCCCTAAGCTAATAGCGCCCCCTGCTGCCCATGTGGCTGAAGCACAGGTACGTCTGCCTGAGCTGGGACTCACCCCTCCCACTCCAGTGTGGGCAAAGCCTTGCGTCTCACAGGGCCGCCCACAGGGGAGGGACTAGCTCTTGTGGGGAAAGCACAGCACTGACTCTGGAGACCTGGGGCCTGATTCAGCTCTCACTCACACTGGTGTCAATCTGCAGTAACTCTGCAGCTGATCGTGGTGTAAAACTGGTGTAAGCGAGAGGAGGAGCGGGCCCTTGAATTCTAGACCCACAGACCCAATGGGCCTGGGCACCTGCTGCCTGGCACCTCATGTTGTTATTCATGCTAGAGGGAAGTGGGTGTGAAACACAGCCACTGGTGAGGGCTCAGGGTTCTGACCTGGCAGTGTTTTACACCGGGGAGTAAATTACTCCCAAAGATGCAATGCAGTGGAGAATTAGGTTCACTGTGTGACCTTGGACAAGTTCCCTCTCTGTGCCTCAGTTTCCCCCATTTGAAAGCAGGGATAGGACACTATCTCCCTCCTGGGGGGCTGTGCGGTTAATTGCACATGTGCTTGTTCTGGCTTTGGGATCCTCAGATGGAAGGTGCTGCCGGAGAGCATGGTACCTTCCAGCTCTGAGCATTTCTAGAGTGCCTCTCCTCCCACGGGGCCCAGATTAGGGCTCTGTGCCCCGCTGCAGCGTCCTACCTGACTGCTGAAAGGCTGAACCTCGGTAGCCAGGGTCCTTTTGAAGCTGTATTTCTTTCAGAGAGAAGATGGAGGCATCTGGGTGAAAGGAAAGAGAGAAGTTGAGAGTTAATGCAACTGGCTGGATGAGCTGCGATCTGAGCTTCCATAGGAAGCCAAACACCAATGAACCCTCAGAGCTTCTCCCATGGCGCTGACTCTGCGGCTCCCATGAATTCTCCATTTTGTCATGCCCAGATCCCCCACCCCACAGCTCCCACAGGCCCAGAATTCCCCTGCCCCGATAGTGCCCAGAGTCCCCAGATCCCTCACACTATGGTGTCCCTGGACCCACAATTCCCCTCCCTAATATGCCACAGCTTCAAGCCGCCTGAGTACCTGGCTCCCTTTCTCTAATCGGGCACAGAGCCACGGAATGGGGCTCTCTAAAGAGCTGTGCTTAAGCACAATCCTTCGGGTGTTAATAAGGCTCTGCCTTTGCCTGTTAGGCCTACCGCCTGCTGTGGGGCAGGACGACTTAGCAGCTTCTCGTTCACACAGGAGCGGTGCCCCGTGCGCTCTGTCCTGATCGGCTTGGAACTGGGCAGCTAATGGGAAAGTTTCCTGTGGGAATTTTTCACAGGAAAAATGCTCATTTGAAGTTTTCCCATAGGAAACCACAGTTTTCCCACGGGAAACATTTCAGAAATAAAGGAAGTGAGAAAACCTGCGAAACTCCCACTTTCTGACTGTCTTCCAACTTGTGCCAGTTGGAAAAGAGTCAGAAAGGGTTGAAAGTGTCTCTAACACTCTGAAAGGAACGCTCTTCTTGACCTTCTCCCTGGTTTTGTCAGGGGGAAAAGCAGGTTCCTCACACTAGCAACATGAACAATTTCAAAAATACTAAAAAAAACCTCTTCCCCCACCAGACATTTTTCATTTAGAAACTTTTTCAGACAACGAAAAACACTGTCAAAACAGAGATTTTTTCCACAAAAAAATTCATTTTTGATGAAACCTGGTTCTTTACCAGCTCCCCTCAGCACCTTCCCCGGGCCCTGACGTGAGACGTGCTCCCTGCCTGCCTAGTGCAGGACTGAGCCCGAATGCGGGGACGAGGGAGCCTAGATACATAGCCTGGCTGGGCCCAGTGCCCATGGGTGCAGCATAGCCAAAGCACTAGACTGGAACTAGGAGACCTGGGTCCTCTTCTTGGCTCTGCCACGGGCCTGCTTGGGCAAGAAACTTCCTTTCTGTGTGCCTTGGTTTCCCTATCTGTACAAAGGGGATAACAATCCTGACCTTCTTTGTAAAGTGCTCTGAACCTACTAAGTATTGTTATTATTACGTGTCCGAATCTAGCTTAATACCGACGAGGGGACTTCACAGAGGCGCATGACTCAGACCATGGGGTTTTTCAGCAATGGGCAGGCGGGGGGAGGCTGTGCTACTTCCCAAAGGGTGTCAGTAAGAAATGTAACAACTGGCTGGGCAGCCCCTGAAGTGCTGTGTCCTGCCCTTGGACAGCCCAACAGGATAATCTGTGTGCTCACTGTCAGGGAGGAGCTGGACTCGGTCCCCCAGCGCCTTGAAGTAAGGGTGTCGCAGGGCCTCTTCGGCGGAGATCCGGCATTTGGCTTCGTACTGTAAAAACCACAGAAAACGGCGTGTGGGGCGACATAAGCTCTGAGTGTGTGCGTGAAGGTGTTTATCTGTGCTCTGTGTGTGTCACCACATAGAGTGTGTGTGTTTGCGTGTTAGGTTCTGTGGGAGAAGAGAAGACGGGGAAGGGAAGGTGGAGACAAGCTCCCCAATTTTCAATCAGGGCCCCTAGGTAGGGTGTCCAAATCCCACGCTGGGGCACCTACGTGGGCACTGGGGAGTAATGCCGTGATGGAAATGGCATTCGTTTCTGGTCAGCAGCAGCTGCAGGGCAGCATTGTGTTTCTGGGCAAATCCAGGAAAGTGGAACCAGGAACTTGGCAGCAGAGAAAAGGTGAGCAACCAGATAACGCAGGTGAGATGCTGGGTTGGAGTTCGGGAGTTCCACTGACTTTAAATACAGGGACAAATGGGCTCGTCTCTAAAAGCTGAAGGGAAGGTAATGACAAGGGCTCTGATCAAGGAGGACATGAACCAGGAGAAGAAGGTAGAAGGGCTTGTCCAGCCACAGAGGAGAGTTCAGGAGAGTTTCTGAGTGAACTCAGGGCAGTTAGCGGGTTGAAGTAATGGGAGTGGGTTGGTACTAAGCTCTACTGAGACCTTGGTGTTAGGGTCAGAGAAATGGCTTAGTTGGATCCATAACCCCTTGCCACTGCTCTATGGCACGAGGGCCTGATCCAGTGCCCAGGAAGCTCTCTAGAGTAGACTCCAAAGGCCGCATGATCAGACACGAACATGCCTTCGTCAAGGCGGACGGTAGCAGGACATATCCCAGTTGGCTCCTCCGATAGAAGCCCCTCCCTGTGTGCTTCCCAATGAAAAGCCTTGATCCCAAGTTAGCATCAGGTCGGCTGTTGTGTGTGCAGTGTTCCCAGCTGCAGCTGGCCAGGCCCCATGTCCCAGCCCCCCCGAAGAGAAGGACGATGATAGGTAGCCAGGAAGGAAGGCAGCAGCCCCGGAGCCCCATGGTGGCAAGTCCACCCAAGACATCCCCCTGCAGTCTGGCTGGACGGTCAGGCCACTTACCAGGAGGAGGCTCATCAGCAAGTCGATCCCTTCCGTGTCCAGCCTGAGAAAAGAAGGAGACTGTAACCACACCCCAGAGACTCTACACTGCTCAGGATCTCACTGCAGGGCGGTGAGAGCACAATGGGGGACAGTGCCTTGCCCTGCACATCTGGTGGGCGGGGTTCCAAGTCTTAATTGGCACCCCTTATAGAGTGACCAGACGTCCCAGTATTTTCAGGACCGTCCCGATATTAGGAGCTTTGTCTTGTATAGGACCCTATTAGCCCCCCATTATTCACACTTGCTATCTGGTGTGGTGGCAGTCTCAGCAGAAAGGATGGAATAAGCCCGGCAGATGGGTACTTATCCGCGAGCCCCTGGAGGGGCATCCTTCCAGGGCAAGTTGTTTGCACATTAGCAGGGCACAGTGGAGGAGGCCTGCTCTGGTGCTGGCTTCACCCGCACCTGTTCTGGAGATTGGCGGAGATCCTTAACATCCAGGGCTATCAGTCCAGCCCCTACCCCAACACTCATTGCCCTAGTCTCCCATTTGTGAATAGCCTGAAACCACAGTGCAAGTGTGGGTCTCTGCTCAAGGGAGATACCTGGGTGCATGATTTATCAAGGGCTGGGCTTGGTACCGGGTGAAATGATAACCCTTAAACTCCTCGTTGGATGTGATTCCAGGCCAGGAGTCTTCTGTAGGGGTGCCTGGGGGAGAAAGGCAGGTTTACACACATCACCCTGTGCATGGGCGATGGAAAGTTGCTCTTAACGACACTAGATGACACTAGAGAGAATAGCTCCCTGTGGAAAAGCCCCACTGTCTCTAGTAAAAAACAATGGCTATTCTATAGGTGGTGTGAACCATCCTCTGGAACTGAATAGAGAATTCTCTCTCTGTTATCAAATTCTACAAGAAGATTATAAAACCTTATAGAAAGGATCTGATTCTCCAGTACAATGGTTCGCAACCTTTCCAGACTACTGTACCCCTTTCAGTCTGATTTGTCTTGTGTATCCCAAGTTTCACCTCAATTAAAAACTACTCGCTTACAAAATCAGACATAAAAACACAAAAGTGTCACAGCACATTGGATCTGAAACATTGCTGACTTTCTCATTTTTAACATATTGTACTTACAGTTCAGTGGACAGTACATAGAGCAGTAGAAACAAGTCATTGTCTGCATGAAATGTTAGTGTGTGCTGACTTCACTAGCGCTTTTTATGTAGCCTGTTGTAAAACTTGGCAAATATTTAGATGAATTGATGTACCCCTTGGAAGACCTCTGCCTACCCTGGTTGAGAACCACTGCTCTCATAAATCCTACCAGATTTACAGGATGGGAGTTAAAGGCCAGCCTAGCAGCACCAGGGAGGTAACAGTTTTCCCTCTCTGCTTAGCCAGCCACCCCCCTCTCGTGGAGACAAGGGAGAATGCAGAAGACTCACCAAGAAGCTTGAAGATTAAATGGAGCTCTTCTTTCACAGTGGAGCCTGGGAACATGGGCCGTCCTGTGACCATTTCGTAGTGTATGCAGCCCACACCCCTAAAGGAGCAGCAGAGACACTGGAATTAGAGATGGGAAAGCCGTCCTAGTCCGTCCCTGCCCTGTGTCCAACGTAGCCTGGTTTCTTCCAGTTCCAGCCCTTGGATAAGGCTCCCACCAGTTCCCTTGGAAGAGACATCAGTACCCAGAGCTACCACACTATTATTACAGCTAACCATGCACACAGTGCCGCACGTGTTCACGTGACACAGCGCCCCTGCTCCAAAGAGCTTGTGCCCTCCGAGATGCAGGACACGGCACAGAAACCGAAGCAGGCGGCAGCCCAGTGTTATTGTTGAACATTATTTAACTGGGCAGCAGGATTCCCGGTGCTGTACAGACACACGGAGGACAATGAATTCCCCTGCCCCGAGAGCTTGGAATCTTAATGTGGGACTCTGATGGAGCCGTCCCACCCCGCCCTGCATGCAGATGCCAGCTCACCACATATCGATGGGTGTGGAGTACACAGTCGATCCCAGCAGGACATCGGGGGGCCGATACCACAGAGTGACCACCTCGTTGGAATATGTTTTCGTGGGGATTGATTTGGCTCTGGCTAGACCTAGGGACGAAAGGGATGTTAGCAAGACGGCTCCTGTTGTGTTTTGCGGCAGCAGTGCGCCCATCCCAGGGAGCTGCACGGCCAGGTTTGCAAAACAATTCAGCTCCCATCTAGGCACCTAAATGCAGCAAGACAGATTTGGAGCTGCCCGTCTGACAATCTGGCCCACTGCATTTAGGAGCTTAAATGGGAGCTGTTAGGTGCTGAAGCCGTGTTCCCAGAGGAGTCCTGCCCCCCTGCATTCCCAGACCAAGCCCGGCCCCTAACCTGTGCGCCTCAGAGGACAGGCACCAAGCTGAAACCTAGCTAAGTGAGCAAGCAGTTTCCATACAGAGGTGACCAAAGCACCAGCTTGAGAAGTGCAAGCAAGCTTGTGTCTGGGGCTGCCTCTGCCCGATGCTGCTCTGCAGCTCCAGGGATTGCATAACCGCTGTTGTCTGCACAGCCCGAACCTGGTCCAACCCAGGCCAGTGCTGTTCTCTCTCTGCCCTACTCACCGAAGTCAGCCAGCTTTAGCTCTCCCCTTTCGTTGATGAGCAGGTTTTGCGGTTTGAGGTCTCGATGCAGGATCTTGCTCTTGTGGCAGTAGGACAGGCCACGGAGCAGCTGGAACAGGAAAATCTTGGGGGGAGGGGAGCAGAAGGGGTGAGAGCAGAGGGAAAGCAGGGTTTGGCATGTTGTTCAGCACGGAGCAGGGACAAGCAGAACCTGCAATGGGCTTGGGATCCTTCAGTGTGGATATAAATGCAAGCTGTAACAGTAATGATCACTAGCTGTAACGGGGAATAAAAATCACAGTGGACAGCTCTGGATTGATTTCAGACTTTGTACAGGTGCCACCCCTGGATGGAGCAATGTGCAAAGCCAGCACTGATGCGTCTCCAGCCTGGAGCACAAGAATAAGGGCCAGATTCACACCCACGCTAAGGCCCCTTTACACCAATGTGGCAGCGTACAGAGGCCTTAACATGGCTGCAGATTACACTGACTTCTAAATTACATTCATGTCCACTGTAAGGCCCCTCTACACAGCCAGGGCCTCTTTACACAGTCTGGCCTTCAGTGTGTCAATGCAAATCTGACCCGACGAATACATCTCCACTGCGTGGCCATGAGTCTCAGGGCCTGGCTCGACAGACTCAGACACGAGCTAAAAGTAGCCTCAGAACTGTTCTGGCTCAGCCTGGGGCTCGGCCTCTCCCCTCCTCCGGCTTCGGAGCCCACGCTCCAGCCCGAGCCAGAACCGATACCTGGCTGCTTTTAACTCTGTAGCAGGAGCCCCGTGAACCCAAGTCTGCACACCCAAGCTCTGAGACTCACGGCCAGGGCCTTTTTTTTTTTTTGGCAGCATAGCATGAGATCCTTTCTCTCTTTGACTCATTGGCAGAGCTTGCAAAGACCGGGCGCTCCACTGGATGAAAAGCGTTTTGAGAGCTACTGATGAAAAGCACTCGGTAAGAGCTGGGTATAATTATTATGATCATTATTATTGATGGTATTTCTGTGTTTGTCTGGAACTTCCCTCTGCCACATGCAACCAATTCCAAACATTCAGGAAATGTTCTAGGCATCCAGGGGCAGAACTTTACCGATTTTAGGGAAAACCGGAAGGGGGGAAATGAGGGATGCACAGCAACCCGGACATCTGTTTAGCGCGGCCACAGCTTCAAGCACCTCTGCAATTGTTTACAGATTAAATAACTGAATTGATGGCCCCTCCTATTGCTGCCCAGCATAACAATAGCCCTGCTCATCCTCCCAAGACAGTCTAACATGCTGACATCCTGAATAACTTCCCTCCCAGACAAAATTCAATGGTGGTGAGGAATGGGAGGCCCACACCTTTCCTGGTGGGAGGAGGGAAACCGGGGGACCTGATATGGTGGGGGATATGAGGTGGGAATGTGAGGAAGGGGCGCAGACAGAGTCCATAACATGGGTGGGGGGAAGAATGGGGAACTCTGGTATGGTGGAGGGGACATGTGGGGCACACAGAACTCCTGGTGGGGGGAGATGAAGGAGTAGTTGCAGGGAGGCCCTGAAATAGAGGGGACTGGAGGGATGCAAGGAGCTCTTGGGGTGTTCAGTCAGCTCGGTCTCCAGAAGTTATGAAGTGTGCCCTCCCTCCCCGCAGTGTAGCTGCATTCTGTCCTTAATTAAGTCAGTTTCCTCATTTGCCACCAGACTAACACCAAACACCCCACTCTGCTAGGAACTGGACAAGGGGCGGAGTGTCTGTCTCGGGAACTTTCTAAAATCCATTGACAAGGTCCTGCAGTAAGATGCTAGGAAGGAAATGAAATCGCCCTCGGATGAACGGTAATACAGACAACTAGTAAAACTACTGATTAATGGTTGAGGAAAGGGGATGAACAGCGTTTACAGATGACACCAACTTATTCAGGTTAGTCCAGGCCAGAGAAAATGGTGAGGAACTTCAGAGGCGTCTAACAATGCTAAGTGAATGGGCAGTGCGATGGCAGATTAATTCACTGTTGAGAAGAACATGATAATGCACACTGGATCGTCTGAATAATCTGAGTGTGAATGTCTGAGTCCCCAACGACTGCAATGCGGCTTGCTTCAGTTCCCTGGGTCTTCAACATGGCCACCATAGAGCATCCCCTGAGAGTTTGTAAACCCCTTCCACAAGATAGTGGTCTCGTACCTTCACGTTGTGCATATTCATCAGGTTCCCACAGTTATCCAGATATTGCTTTAGGTCACTGTCCTGCAACGACAAGCACATCCCGAAGGAACCTTCTAAGTGACCATGAATAACCATGTGCCCAGCAAGTTACTGACAACACATGGCGATGGTCAAGCTGAGCCTGGTGAGTGAGGTTTAACAAGGGCTGGGTGGCTAAATCTCACAGATAATTTTAACACGCCCTGAAACCTTTTTCACAGATTTACAGAGGTTATGGTCAGAAAGAACCATTACGATCACCCCAAACCCTCCCCCAAGTGGCTAGGGGGAATGGGTGGAGATGGAGGGCTAGGAAAACTTTGCCTCCCTCATTTCAAACACAAGTGAACAGGCTTGATACAGCAATCTCTGGGTGAAATTCTATGGTCCACGTTACACAGGAGCTCAGAGCAGACAATTGTTATTAGAAGTGAATAAATATTTTGTTAATTAAAAAAAACTGAGTGAAATCTCTGACTGCACATATTGAAGAGACCAGGCCTATCTATCAAATGTTAATATTGTGTGGGTGTTGTAATGATGCTCACTCTGCAATGTGGTAACTCCCTGGTTGGTACACAGAGCGATCTGATGTTTATATTCCTGCATAATGTCTCTTTAAACAAATTCTCGTTGTTGTAATGTTGATTGTTTTGTATCTGATATTTACATGGCAAGGATTTATAAACCCTTCTATATACTTCTAAATAAACAGATAGTAACGTAAAAAAAATCAGGGAAATAGCTGATGAAATTACTGTGAAATGTTCCCTTTTTTGACCTATTACAAAGCAGGTCAGGGAATTCTCGAAGTCTGGAAATTTTCAGAATTTTGAAAAACAAAAAAATGTTGTTCCCCGTGATTCTCTCTGCTATTTTTTCTCTTTTGTTGCAACCAGCAGTTCTCATCATTCCATGAACCGTTCCTGTGTCTGGAAGGAGCCCCCACCCCTCCCTCAGCAGGAGAAAAGCTGGGTGTCCAGACTGCCCCAGCACAAGACTAAGTGCCCAGGCAAGCAGCCCATGGACTCACCAGGTACTCAAAGACAAGGGTGAGGGAGCGCTCCGTGTGGATGAAATCGTGGAGGGTCACAATGTTTGCATGTTTCAGGTTCTTCAGCAGGGAAACTGCAAGGCAAGAAGAAGACAGCGTTAGCCATGAGGACCCATTGGCGGCAAACTTTGTCATGAGGGGTGGCAACCTGCCCAGGCAGGGCTGATGGGTCCCAACATCTGTTCCTCATGGACCGGGTCAGTGTTTTGCAGATGGAAGAGTCAGTCCTTCAGGACTGAGTGGGTTTGGATTGGCTTGCTGAGCTGCCCATCAAGCCCTAAGGGAAGTCTGATTCGCTACTAACTTTCTATTGCAGGCAGCGTCCTCCTTTTCACACAGTCATGGGGGCTCTCCGGAAGCGGCCGGCATGTCCCAGCAGCTCCTGACCTAGGTGGAGGGGACAGGGGGCTCTGCGCGCTGTCCTTGCTTGCAGGCACTGCCCCTGCAGCTCCCATTGGCTGCAGTTCCCAACCAATGGGAGCTGTGGAGCAGGAGCTCATGGCAGGGGCAGCGCGTGGAGCCCCCTGGCATTCCCTCCCACTGGAGCTGCAGGGACACATGGAGTTGGGTAGGGAGCCTGCCAGCCCTGCCAACCCTCCCTGCTTGAGCACCAGCAGGGTGAGACCGCCCGGCCCCCATTCCCAGGACCAGCGGGGGTCCTGGACCGCGTGCCGCCACCTGGACCACCCCCAGCACCAGGGGCGCCCCCAGACCACCCCCCAGACCACCTGCAGCCCCTTTGCTCAATATTTAGTCAGGGGTATATAGTACAAGTTATGGACAGGTCACAGGCTGTGAATTTTTGTTTACTGCTCATGACCTGTCCAGGACTTTTACTAAAAACACCTGTGACTAAAACATAGCCTTAATTATGGGCTCCTTTGAATCATAGAAATGTCAGGTTGGAAGGGATCTTGAGAAGGCAACAAGTTTAGCCCCATGCACTGAGGCAGCGCCATCTGGTAAGCGGATATAAATTGCTACCCTTTATACTCACGAGTTCCAGAGCTGTGGTCCATCCCTGTGTGTGTTGCCTTTTAGCACAAAAAGCATCTACTGCCCCTTACCCTCCCTTATAGCTGTGCAGGGTGCTCCTTCTTCATGCTCCAGGCGGATCTCCTTCAGAGCGACCAGGTTCCCAGTTAGCTTGCTGCGCCCCTTGAAGACAGTGGCATAGGTGCCCTGTGGGAAAGGGACAGAGAAATGCAGCTCATGAACTCACACTTGGATGGCATGTGAGCAGGGCTGCTAAGGGGAGCACCTGACACCCTGCATGTACCACAAACCAATGTCCATGGGAGCCTTTTATCTTTGGATGGAAGGGATTGAAAAACAAGGGCAGGATAATTTTACAACCACTGGTGACATTGGTAGCAATGCAACTGTGCACACTGGCTAAATCCCTCTCCAGTGGCTGGTTAACGTAGAACGTAATAACCTACTACTGCTACCATCTAATGGAGCTGCTCCTTTAACTCAAGTGGGAGAGACCTATGGTGTCGATCCCGGCTGACGAAAGGTGGTCGGGATTGTTACATACAGTAAGATATTCATAGGACTCAATGTCATACTTTGGTAACCCAGTGGATCAGGTGGTAATTTCCCCTCCTGTAAATACAGTATTACCTTGCACAATTTAACACCTTTTGTAAACCCAGAGTTTTGGGAGGGGAGTCTATGTTTTGGGCTTAAACCTTGAAGGCCAGATTTTCAATGCTGGAGCTCAGAAGGCAACCTCTTAATTTGTCAGCATGGAAAATACAATCCTGCATTTAGAGTAGCCATCTAAGCAGCCAGATAACCTTTTGCCTGTTTAACCAAGGGCTTTGTGGGTGCATCTTAGGCACCATTCTTTGAAAATGGCCCTTTAAGAGTTTAGTTTGAGAGGGTGGGAATGATCTACTGGCGCGAGAACAATCCTGGGTAGCATGAACATCTGAGTTCTACACTGATTCCCTCTGTAGCCTTAGGCAAATCACTTAACCTCTCTGCCACTGTAAAATGAGAACAACACTTAACTACCCAAGACAGGGGGCGGGGCAGGGTTGTACAGAGTGTTTTTAAATTGCTTTGAAGATAAAAAGCCTGATCCAAAGCCCCTGAAAGTCAACTTCAAGATTCCTGTCAGCTTCAATGGTCTTTCGACTGGGCCCAAAAGAACTCTGCAAGTGCTACGTTTGAGTATTTCTTGTTACTTTTAACTCACACTGGGCCAGGACCAAACTCCCATATGCTGAGGAAGTTTGGCTCTGGGTCTGTCCTTTGCAGCTTGGGCTCTGTTCTTAACTTCATCTACAATGTTGAGTTGATTTCACGTTCTCCTTACCTCCCCCAGTTTTTCCAATTTAACATAGGTTTCCAGCTTCCCAAATCCGATGTCCGACTGCAAAGAAAAGGGAAGAACATCAGCAGGAAATATCCTTCCCGAGGAAAGATTAGACCTGCGGCTGAAGGTCACATCAAGGAGGCTGGGCAGTATGAGCTTTGGGGGGAGATAAATCAAGGCAGGTAGCAGTTCTAGATACACAATGTTTATTGCTATCTGCAGGGGAGAGCAGCCAGGCAGCCAATCAATCACAGGGAAACCACAACTGACTGGTTGCTTAAAAGAAACAAATGATACCTGCTTTCTCCTTCCATGGAACTATGACGCAAGCTATTAACTTCATCACTGCGCTAAGTGTCTTCTTCTGCAAAATGACTGTGGCTTGAAATATTGCCCTCCACTGCTCCTATCGCTACGATTCCATGATCGTTCTGTCCATCTGTCCCTTCCTCACCCGTCAGCCTGGTATTTGAGCAGTTAAGTCTGAATTTAAACATGAGCTTTTTTTTTTTTTTTAATGCAGTGATGCCGCTTTCATCAAAGACACCTACCCTAGGATCACATCAAGTAGGCAGCCCCTTCCTTGTGCTAAAAGTCAATTCCTACATATCTGATCTTCAGTAGAATGCCATTCCTTGATCACAGATACTTTTCAAACCAACCAGGAAAGAAACATTTCCTATTTGCAATGGTCACTCTTTCAAGTTATACTGAGAGACACACTGTCATAGACACAACCACGGCAAGGGTAGTCTTGCGGTTAAGGCACTGGATGGAGACTCGGGAGACCTGGGTTGAGTTCCTACCACAGACTCTCTGTGTGACCGTCAGCAAGTCTGTTAACCTCTCTGTGCCTCAGTTTCCCAATGGGAAAATGACACCGCCTTTGTCTATTTAGATTTTAAACTTTTTTGGGGAGGGACTATCTCTGAGGCGTGGTCTACATTATAACATTAAGTCGACCTAACTACATTGCTCAGGGCTGTGAAAAATTTCGCTCCCCATGCGATGTGGCTAAGCCAATCTGCGGAAAAGGACCTAGGGGTGACAGTGGACGAGAAGCTGGATATGAGTCAGCAGTGTGCCCTTGTTGCCAAGAAGGCCAATGGCATTTTGGGATGTATAAGTAGGGGCATAGCGAGCAGATCGAGGGACGTGATCGTTCCCCTCTATTCGACATTGGTGAGGCCTCATCTGGAGTACTGTGTCCAGTTTTGGGCCCCACACTACAAGAAGGATGTGGATAAATTGGAGAGAGTCCAGCGAAGGGCAACAAAAATGATTAGGGGTCTAGAACACATGACTTATGAGGAGAGGCTGAGGGAGCTGGGATTGTTTAGCCTGCAGAAGAGAAGAATGAGGGGGGATTTGATAGCTGCTTTCAACTACCTGAAAGGGGGTTCCAAAGAGGATGGCTCTAGACTGTTCTCAATGGTAGCAGATGACAGAACGAGGAGTAATGGTCTCAAGTTGCAGTGGGGGAGGTTTAGATTGGATATTAGGAAAAACTTTTTCACTAAGAGGGTGGTGAAACACTGGAATGCGTTACCTAGGGAGGTGGTAGAATCTCCTTCCTTAGAGGTTTTTAAGGTCAGGCTTGACAAAGCCCTGGCTGGGATGATTTAACTGGGAATTGGTCCTGCTTCGAGCAGGGGGTTGGACTAGATGACCTTCAGGGGTCCCTTCCAACCCTGAGATTCTATGATTCTATGATTCTATGACCTAAGCCCCAGTGTACATACTGCTAGGTCGACGAAAGAATCCCACGGATAGGTGTTCCTGTGACATAACTAGCACGTCTCTCTCACACACCTGGTACGTGTTTACGTACAGGACAGTCACAAACACAACTCTTATCTCAGGGAAGTTCAGTGGGTTTCCACTTTTTGATATGTACCATAATAATCACTACAACACATGCCATATACATCTCTCCATCATTAGGCGGTCCTAGAGAGACAGCTGTCACTCGACAGGGAGTTTTGGAACAGTGCAGTCACCGTCCACGGAGCAGAGAAATAGTTTGTCATCGTCTCCCAGAATAAAGAACATCATGGTCGTCTGATTGGAGTTGGACAGGAAAATGGTGGGTGAATTTTAAACCGGTGGCAAGTCCTGGAGACTATTCATCTACGGGCTGCAGCAGGGACACAATCCCCCTTACAAGTGGGATCCGGGAGGAACCGACCTACTACAGAACGGAGGTCAGTCTCTCTGGCTTCTCTGCCATTTTCCCTGCATTTTCCTCCCTGCATTTTCCAATCAGCACCCTTTCCATCCACTCATTTTACACAAGCCACCAAAACACAGAGGAGGGAAACTTACAGTCTAGCTGCTGACACGAGGTGGGTTTGAACTAGGGACTTGTGAGGTCAATGGTGTCAGTAGCTTCACTACCACTCCCCTGAACAATCTGCCTCCCACAGGAGCAGCGACATCAGTCTATTTTGCACAGTTGGTGGACCTAATACTGTGACTGTTGGAATGTGAGGGAGGCTGGACATGATCTGACAGCCTACGAATGGCACACTGCCACGTGGAGAGTTTTACAGAAACACTCATTATTCATTGACAGGATTATTAATATTTATAGCACACTCGCTTCACCCAGGTATATGTTATTCAATAGACACAAGAGACTGCACAAGTAGGTGTGTGCTGTCAGTACACCAGCTTACACCATTCTTCCCACTTGGGGCTAGATATCTGTCCAAGGCTTGCCAAGGCCTTGGACCCAGTGACTGGGCAACACTGAGTGTTCCTGGTGCCTAGGAAGCATGCTGGCATATTCGTAAATAAGGTGCCGTGTTGTAGTCATCATGCATGCTAACGCTGTGCTATACAGAAAGTGAAACTCCGAAATTAGTACGAAGACTAATTCATTATTTTCCAGCGTTCGCATTTTAACGAGAAGCGGCGGCCGCCAGCAGGTGCTTCTTAAATGCCAAGTGGCTTTCAGTCCCCATCCTTTCAAAGAATCAAACCTGAGTGTGGGCACGTGGGAGTGTACGAATGTGAGGGGCAGGCGTGGGGAGTTACACAGCTGGGTGTGGGCACATGTGGCGCAGGGGATTTGCACTGCACATGGACATGGGATTTGCACACATAGGTGCGAGCATGTGCATGGGGAGGATTGACGCAAGTGTAGGCATGAGTGTGTGATGAGTGTGTGATGGTTTACGCTTGTGGTTGTGTGCAATAGCGATTTACTTGCATCAGTGTGTACACGCGGAGATGTGCACGTGTGGGAACGTGGGTGGATGGGCATTCACATGGGAATTTGCACACGAGTGCATGAGGATTTAAACACACAGCAGCGAGCAGTGGGACATGTGCACAGTGTGGTGGGCCTGACACAATCCCCCCCAGACCCAGACCCCCTGAGCTGAGGGACTCACGAGGGAAGCCCGTCGAGACATCCTGCTGAAGGTCTTGGGGAAGTCTGGATTGTCCATCTGCAGCTTTTGCAGGAACTCCGGGGGCAGACGGATGTCCACGGGCAGGGAGAGCCGCTTGCTGACATCCTGCAGACAGGGCCAGCACAGAGTTAGTGTCTAAAGCACCTGACGCAGCTGAGAATCTTAAGCAGACATTCAGGGAGCAGTGCCTGACAGCTACTCACCTCAGCCTACATACTCCCCATGCCCCCCACCCCACGTCCTAGACAACTGCCTCCCGCCTATGAGAACCACGGAGCGCCTCACCGCGCACCCTCCTCCTCACCCCACCGCAGGCGCAGCCCCACCCAGTACTTGCCTCCATGGAGAAGCGGCGCTGGCTGCTCCTTCGGTAGCGCACAGCTTTCGGGGACTGGCCTTCCACCTCCGAGGGGGAAACGGAGGTTGGCTCTGCCCGGAAACCTCTGCCCAGGTGGCCCAGCTGCAGGTGCCCTTGTGCCAGGTCTGATGAGAGAGGAAGCAGAGACAGAGTGGATCGACTGGATGGCACCAAAAGGCCACTATTCATCAATACAAGGGACAATCACATTCCACTGATGAGTCTGAGTACAGGATGGGGAGCGAGGTGACTCCTGGACACTGAGAGAGTCCTGGAGAGAGTCCAGCGAAGGGCAACAAAAATGATTAGGGGTCTGGAACACATGAGTTATGAGGAGAGGCTGAGGGAGCTGGGATTGTTTAACCTGCAGAAGAGAAGAATGAGGGGGGATTTGATAGCTGCTTTCAACTACCTGAAAGGGGGTTCCAAAGAGGATGGATCTAGTCTGTTCTCAGTGGTAGCAGATGACAGAACGAGGAGTAATGGTCTCAAGTTGCAGTGGGGGAGGTTTAGATTGGATATTAGGAAAAACTTTTTCACTAGGAGGGTGGTGAAACACTGGAATTCGTTACCTAGGGAGGTGGTAGAATCTCCTTCCTTAGAGGTTTTTAAGGTCAGGCTTGACAAAGCCCTGGCTGGGATGATTTAACTGGGAATTGGTCCTGCTTCGAGCAGGGGGTTGGACTAGATGACCTTCTGGGGTCCTTTCCAACCCTTATATTCTATGATTCTATGATCCGTGCCCTAACACCGACCCCCTCTGTGGCCTTGGGCAAGTCCCTTCACCTTTTTGCAGCTCAGGTTTCCCTTCCAAAACACTGGGCCAACACTGCTACATCCCCGGGGGAGCTTGCAGGAGCTAATGTGTGTTTGCAAAGTGAATAGAAGTGCTAAGGATTTCTACTAACTATAGCACCTCTGCTGTTACAACTGAGGTGGTGCCTAGGGGCCCCAGTCAGGGAGCAGGGCTCCACTGTGCTAGGCACTGTATACACATGGATTGAAAAGACTGTTCCCTGCCCCACAGAGCTTGCAGTCTCAGGGGCAGGCTGTGATAGCCTTTCAGTACTAATTGCTAGTGCTTTACTCCCATTGTACAGATGAGGAGAACTGAAGCCCTGGGAGACGAAGTGACTTGCCCGAGGTCCTGCAGCAGGCCACTGGCAGAGCTAGGAATAGAACTGTGGTCTCCTGAGTCCCAGTCCAGTGCTTTATGCGGGAGGAAACACTACTTAGCACCCTACCCTACATGGAGCACCGCCTGCTTCAACGAGGCCTACTCCTAGCCACGAGCAAGGCTTTCTCTCTCTGGCGCTGAGCAGCTTCGGCTCATGTCACAAGCAGTATCGTCACCATTATTCACTCCCAGGGACCTGAACGATTCTGAGCAAAGGGCCTATGGGATTAAAGGGGGGCAGACAGAGTGTCATTTACTGCACAATAAAACCAGCAGACTCCCGAGGAAGGTACGAGTTCCCCAGCCCCAGCCCGTCACGTCTCAGCAGATTACGTAGTCCTGGGAAACGGTCCTAAAACACAGCAGCCCTCTTGAAGGCTGAAGAGATTCCGAATAATAACCCTTCTCTTAGGATTACAAGTCTGAAGCATCATCAAGTCCCAGGCGCCATGAAAGAAGCAGGAAATCAGAACAAAATAAGCCACAAAGCTCCCTCAGGACTCCAGTTTTAGGCTTGCACTTAATTCCTCCTTGGTCTGCAATTAATGTCTGGTTGCTAGGAAGCTCTGGAGCGCAGGGACCCAGACCCTGGCTCAGTAAAACGTTTAACGAGTTCAACACAGGTCACCAGAATCCCTGTGAGATGGATTCTCCAAATTCACAGGGGCATTATTTCCAAGAGAGCCATTCAAAACAAGGCCTCTGCTAATTAGATGTTTCTGAATGAAGTTTGGCTATTTAAAGAGGAGTCAAAACCGTCCTGCGAGGATTAGTGGAAGAAATTTGACTCCCTTACAAAAGACTTTCAGCAGACACATGACAATGTCTTCAGGCCCTTCCACAGTGAGGGCATGGATACAACACAAGGCGACTGCCTTTGGCACAGACAGCCTTTCACACAAGCCAGTCATTGATACAGAACTCAGCTCGCTGAGGAAACAGAGAGAGGGAGAAGAGAGGGGAAGAAAGGTCTGCACATTAGGTGACAGAGTTGATAGGAGAGTCGGACAGAGAGATACCAGGGTTCTATTCCCTGCTCTGTCCTTGACCTGCTGTGTGACCAATTCCCTCTCTGGGCCTCTGCATCCCCCCTACACTTTGTTTACTTGGAGTGTACTGTCTTTGGGGCAGGGGCTGTCTCTCACTACGTGCATGTACAGCCCCTAACACAATGGGTCCCTGACCTCAGTTCGAGTCCCTAGGTTCTACTGTCATACAATTAACAATAGTAACTTCCCACCAGCGTGAGTAATGGGTGCACAAGCCAGCCACAGGGATTGTCACCTTTAGCAAGAAGGAGCTGCAAGTGAGCTTGGCATTTTAACAGATCAAGAAGAACAAAGAGGCCAGAAATGGGGGACCTGCTGTTCAAGCGTAAATGCCCTCTTCACAGACACAGCTTCCTTTCTGACCCGGTTCTTGAACTCCTCCAGCAGCCCAGCCCAAGCTCTCTAGCTGTTTAAGGATCCATTTCTTTCAGCCCAGGAAAATATTACAGCCCACAGCCTGTGACATGGACCCATGCCCCCCTTCGCTGGAAAAAGCTAGTGAAGAACAACTGTGCCCACTACTAATGGAAACAGTCAGGGTCTCCTTCAGAGAGACACACCTCCCAAACCCCTTGAAAAATGCCATAGTTGGCCCAATCCTCAAGAAGCCATCACACAACCCTGAAGATCTCTCGAACTACCCTCCCGTCACCCACATCCCATTCCTAGGCAAAATAACTGAGCAAGTAGTAATCATCAAACTCCAGCAGCATGCAACGTCAGCCATGAACCTAGATGTCTCCCCATCAGAAGCCAGGGCACAGCCGAGACAGTTCTGGTGGCACTAGAAGACAACCTTCTTGTGGTCATGGACCATGGAGGTGAGATCCCAATGCTCGCAACGCTGGACCTCTCTGCAGCCTCTGACACAGTGGAACACAAGATACTGCTAACCTGTCTACATGACATGGCAGGAACAAGGACGCCAACTGTTCTTTGGCAGCAGAGCTCAGAGAGGGGTGACAGGTGACTGCTGCCACCAGAGACTTCACTACTGCTACTGATTTTACCTGGCAGGCGCCCAGATACTACAGGCACGGGTGGCAGCATAAAACCAACGAAACAGATCCATCCATCAACCTCCTTAACAACATTTTCCTGGGCCCAGACACACTGCCTTGGCCACTGTTAAAGCCTTTGTGGATGGGGCTTAGTTACATCACTCTGGAATAGGCTCAAGGGTTGGTTTCAACAACAGTTATAAAAAAAAAAAAAAAGACCGTGTCCCAAGCTCACCCTGCTTTCTTGGGGTTTTCCCTTATTCTTAAGAACAAAGCACATCCCTCAGCCCAAGCTTCCTCCTGAGGTTAGCCCTTCCTTTGTTTTTCGCCCTGCAGGGCCTCTGTCCCTTCCCTACTTCTCTCTGCTTTATGAGAGAGACACTCCAAGGTTTTTGTATTCCTTGGTTGAAGCTAGTAGGACCCACCTGGTCTGGCTGCTCGTGTAAATCAGCAGAAGAGCTCTGCGTTTCTATGCAGGGATCTACTGCCCTCTGACAGTTATCCTTAAGAGCCATTAGTGAATTTCACACCAGGGTTCAAATTCCAAACACCCTCACGTTGAGATCTGAGGTTTCAGCCTGGGCTCACCATTAATACTGATTATTATTACACTGAAATTTACCCTCTGCACAGGATAAACTGTTGACATGACAAACACCAGGGTCAGTGCTGCGGGGGGTGGGATGAAGGGGCATGGCCATTAAGAGCACAGAGCACCACAGCATTAGGAAAATGCTATACATCAAGAGCAGGCACTGGCAAGCTGCTCCCTTCCCTGGGAGCTCCACTGGTTGTTTGCAGCATGAGTCAGGGAGACATCTCATGACCTGCCATGGTGTATCAGCCACAAGATCCCTCCCCTGTGAGCCCGGGGAACTAGGAGTGTCCAGAAAGTGTCCTGGCATGCAAAGATGCCCTAACTCCCCTTAATATCTTCTTGCTGCTGCCACTGCTGCTGGGGGGCTGCATGTCACCACAGTGGCCCTCTAGCATGGTGCCAAGTGGTACTGAATCACAAATGTTTCTGCAGGGGCCCGGGTTCCATCAAACCGCTCCCTGTGTCTCCACAGGCTGAAGGCAGCTAGCTGCTCCAGGCTGAGAGTGTCTTGTCAACAGAAGTCATTGGAAAGCATTTGCCTGGCAAGCATTTTGTAATGCAGATGGAACAGGTCCACAACCACTATGCTACTGCAGCGTAAGGAGACTGTGGGCTTTCTCTCTCTCTGTTGTGCTGCATGACAGGGAAGCTTCACCTGCCAAGGAGTTCTCTGTACCAAGGGATATGGTAAATTGTCCATCGCTTGCAGTTTACATCGAGATTGAATGCCTTGTTTAAAGAGATGCCCCACGTCAACCACAAGTTACTGGTCCAGACGCAGGAATTACCAGGTGAAATTCTCTGGCCTGTGTTATGTAGGAGGTCAGGCTAGATAATCAGAACAGTCCCTTCTGGCCTTAACATCTAGCAATCTGTAGTCCACAGAAACAGAGCTGGGCCCAAACCCAATGGGGCTCGACCTAAACCCCCTCCCCCGATCTGAACGTGTGGCTTGCTCCTAGTACTAGAATGGGCCAAACTAGCACCCCAAATCCAAATGACCTGACGTTAGGAGAAGTTAAGCTTCAGATTCAGGTTTTGATTCTGACCATAGCCAAAGTTGGAAGGAACAGGGGGGAGTTCAGATCTGGGTTCTAGTTCAGGACCCTCTGTATTAAACCTACTAACTGCTGAATCCACCGGGGATGTAACACTCGAAGTAACAGTGCCCACCCATACATAATAACTCAGCAAGAGAAGGCTAAATGTCAGCAGGAGAGTTCCTGACCAAAATACACTTGGCTCAGCTGCCCAGGGCACGTCCCTCGGCCATCCTCCTGCTGAGACACCGTTAGCCGAG